AGCATACAGTTAATAACCGTCTCATTATTAACCTCCTATAAATTTTATGTTACCATGCCCCTACCCAAAAACACATTATTATGTATATTTTTCAAACCCATACTCTACTCGAAAATGTTTTGAACGTATGAGCATAAAATCAACAAATGTGTGCATAGAAAACAATGTCTAAACTGTACTAATCACTTTATGATGCCATTGAAAATAATAATAAATGGGTTTTATTTATGAGAATTACCCTCAAAACGATATTATCTGGGTTTTAAACAGACGAGCAACAATCCCAAAAATCGTGTCCTACATTTATTGACTCTCCAAATTCAAAGCCTTCCCTCACCTACAAATGGGCTTGTTAATAGGCAGTAAGATTATCTGGAAGTTAAAAATCATCATATTAAATGCCCTTTATCACATGCATCTCGTTAAAATTTCGCAAACAGCGCTATGGGATTTGCCAAACACATAGCCCTAGCTTCGACTTGGCATTAGGAATGACCTTTTCAGTAATATTGTCAGATAGACTGGCGTCAGTCCGCTATGCAGAAGTGTTCACTCGGAATGAATTGACCTTTAGACTAACAATCCCTGGCAGAAACTGCATGCTGCTGCTACTGCTGCTGTGCAAAACGGCAGCAACAAAAACAGTACCAGCATTCGTGCAGTCCCATGGATGGGTTGATTTGTCTACCTTGTAAGTTTGTCCTTAAATAGTGTCGTTTGACAGAGCCTTCAGTTGTGGTCATCTTTCAATATACTGTTGTGCGTGCGCAAACAATGGTAGGATGGTTTTAAGAGCAAAAAAGTAAACCCCAAACTGGAAAAGGAGTGTTTGCACTTTGCAGAATATCTTTTTCCGCAAAGGAATGAAAGTGAAAAACAACCAAAGCAGAACTGGCAATGTTAGGTCATGACTAAGTTCATTTTGACAATCAATGCTAAGATGCGTCTGAACCAGTTTTACTAAAAAGCTTTAAAAAATATTCAGTCACCTCTATTCATTCTTCTCCATTGTGAGTTATTGAGGGATCTCAGGTATCCAGCCACAGCATGCAATTGGATTTACTAATACTTTTATATGCTTGACAAGTTGACGCAATGTCGTAGGCCAGTAATTCTCTCGAAAATGTTCACAAAGTGTGGGAGTTTCTTCCCCCTACCCAATATGACAATGATCTTTAAAATGAGTTTTCTTAGACACAGTTCTATTAATACGTTCAGTTTAGCCATCTCAAACAGTGCAACGTAGCTTTTAGACCTACTGAAACTCAGCTCCTGGACATGAACAAGGTCTGTCGTGTTTCTACCAGCAGTCACAAAAACAAATCACGGTAGGTCAAAGCTCCCTTTTGAGATAGTGAAAAACTAAGCCAAAGGCAAAATTGGCTTAGAAGAATTAGCAATCTTGATTTGTCATATGGGGATCATGTCAAACCCCAACTTTAATTATGTATAAAGAATAAGTGGTCATCAAAAGTGCCTACCTAGTCACTGCCACTTATCCATTGTTATTCATTCCTATTGAACTTTGCCAGTTGATGGAATTTAGAATTTAATGAGGTGGATCAAGTTTTAGAAATACAAGATTTTTCCGTTTACATTAAAAAATAAGTTTTGCCTGCGACTGTGAATGCGACAAGTCACCTAACGTGAGAGCCAACGGATAGAAACAGTGGTTCCCTTCTTCACTACTTTAACTTCAAAGGAGCTTAAAATCCTACGTCTTGCGAAGTCAGGTGGGACTTAGTTGTATTTAAGGGTAAGCTGACATCCTTTCAATCGACAATGATAATAAACCTTATGAACCTAGTTTCTTTAAGCTGTTTTTGTTCAATACAAATAACCGTTTTTGATTTAAAAAAGCTCTTGTTAATTGCACTATAAAGCATGAGTTAAAAAGGACCATAAAGCAAACACTTAAATGAGCAAATAATAGCCATGGTCTATGCAAGAAATCTATTTTTAAAGTATGATCACTCAAGAGAATAAGAAGAACACTTTGAGAATAGTTTGGTACAGGTTTATGATAGGGATTAAAACCCTTGCCATCTCGGTTATTGAAATGCCCAAACAGTAAAAGGCCGATGAAGTAAGAAAGTAAGACCACACTTTGACAGTAATGTCCCTTTTATGCTTCAGGCTGCACTCAAATTTATGCAACAAAACACCTACACCCACAAATTTGATGGTTATGCTCCTCCTACTTAGTATTGGACCCTGCTCATTTTATGGTGATTTTTTGTGGGTTAAAAGGAGAAACTAGGGTAAATTATCTCACATTTCATTTGCTTTAAAAGTAGCAAGCGTTTCCCGAATTTGTTCCGTTAAGTTGGGAGAATTGGGTAAAACCCTCTATACTTAACAGCTTTTTGTCAGAAATTGGCTAAAAATGCTAGAAAAAGTGAAATTTCAAATGCAATTTTGCCAAATTGATTTATGAAGCTCTAAGAATATGTGTAATTTTTGCTCCTCTTAAACACACGCATAAGGCCCGAGATTGCAGTCGTACTTAGTTGACAATCATGAAGCATGCATTAACTCCTCTAATGCTTGATTTTAAATAGAATGACGCATTTGATGACGCTGTCACGAGAGTGTATTTCAATTCAGAGTGAATGCTGCTTAGCTAGGTCATGCTCTCTATTTCTCATCAGCTAAATGGGTTTAATTCAAGGTTATTGGAGTTTTAAATGGATATTACTTTGTTTGGCAAAATGATGACATTGAACTTACCTTTAACCTCATTTAGGAAATGACACTTATTGTAAGAAGGATCGGTTAGCATTCTTAGTAATTTATTGTTGTGCAACCCCATAGGTTAGGTCATTTTTCTTAGTTTGGGCGTAACATTGCAGTTCAATGCATTTATGCTTTCCATTACGGTGGTTAACTGGCGTCTGCACCTCTAATGTGTAATTTAACTGCTCTACAATCCTTTATGCAAGTTGAAATCTTATACTGTGTGATTTTTCTTGCCCACATGAGTAGTGAACAGGGCAACCTAATATCTTCAGGGTGTTTTTGGTTTAGCTCATCAAAAAGAAAATCCTAAAAAAGAAGTATTACTCTTTTTTTTTTTTACGATTTTAGGCGATAGAAAAAGCCAGTTACTCGTCTAAATGAATGCAGTACACGTTGATGCAATGAAAGAGGCGTCTACACAAGTTTCGAATTAGCTTTACCACGCACTAATCTTATTTGAACATTGGCAATCGTGATTTACCAGACCTAGCGATACTTGAATGTCTCCAAAGTTATTACATCAATCAGCAGACACTTTTAAAATTTAATAACTAGGCAAAAGAGGAAATGTTGTATCTCCCTCGAAACTTCTATTTTTGGTCGCGTGTTCACGGTAAGCGATAGACTGGCACAATTTTTTGGTTTATATGTGTTCCTGACCTTGCGTTCAGCTTGCCCACTGTGTGTGCTTATGAACGAGAGTAACTCGAAAAGCCGTTGTTCTCCTAGCAGTAGAGGAATGCATGAAAATTCGGTTAAATAATATGTATCGAAAGGCAAAAAAATCGAATGAATTTTGGGTGTGAGCATTTGTCCCACACGTACCTGCGGATTTTTGGGTCTTAGATTTGTATAACTTATCATAATCCAAAGGACGTGGTAGGGTATAAGGAACTGAATTAGTCGTGTTTTTGATGGTTGGAGTAGATAATTCTAGGATCTTACTAGCTGTGCAGCAGGACTCCGTCAGATCCTATGTGGTATGGGTAATTAAGAGGAGTGAACTGCGCAATCATTTTGGCAGAAAAAAGGAATACTACCTACAAAATTTGGATAAATAATGAGTTATGACCTCATTTTCTTTCGCGCACCATTATGAATAAAACCTCATTCATCTTGACTATCAATAAAACGCAAATTATAAAATAGGTACAATTTGTTTTGTTGCTTGCTACTATTTTAATCTGGCTACTCTTCCATGATGGTGCTGTTAAAATTTTCAAAATTAACTTTGTAGCTAAAGGCTATCAACAAAGCACTCCAACATGCACTGTAATGGAACACTTTATTTTCAAAACTGTGCTAAATAACGTCGTTTTATCATAATTGGTGCAGACCAATTGCAAAGAGATGATTTAATATTTAGCAAGTTTTCGAAATTTGTTAAGTTATTGTCAAAGAGAGACGTATCACGAAATAATACACTTCACTTTGCTAGCAAACTAACAAAACTGTACATTTCATTGGATAAATGAACTGCTTTTTACTTACGACGACCTATCCGTCTTTGTGAATACAAAGAGGGAAAAAGCGAGGAAGACTGAGTGACTGAAAGAGAATGATAATTACAGAGGTGAATGATGGGCAAGGAGATAGTAAAAACGCACTAGAGACCATGGCAATGGTGACTTTAGCGTTCGCGGCAACGGCGGATGGGGTGGTCCTTATAATGATGTTTGCATGGTCAATGGAGCCGCTTGTAGCGGACCGTTTGGCATTTACGAATTCCTTTCCCTAATGCATGTCGAGCCAAGTCTAAGGGAGGGAAGGGAGTAGGGATACGACCTACCTGCCTGACTTAATGGCCTCCGCCCTTTCGTCGACCACAGGCGCGTGGCTTGCCAGACAGAAGGAGGATCATCACTACTCCCTCCCTCATCAACAATTTTTGCAAACTATTTATCAGCTAAAAGGCTGCTGGTTTAAACAAGGCTTCTGGGCAAATGTTCATGGTGTAAATTCATGCTGAATCCTTGTTCAAAGCTAATCTTAATTGTTAAATTAATTACTCTGCTGTACAATTTGGTTTCCATTCCTCAGAAGTGAATAATAATAATAGGCTTTCTTAAATAAATGAGTAAGATCAAGAGGAGTTCATTATAAAACCTATGCTTTTGTTATAAGGTACGTCTGTTTTAGTTATTTTCCTAGAGATTTGATTAATTTAATTCAGGTAAATAATGGCCTATCTGTATACTATTAATCCAGCATAAGAATTTTATGGCTTTTATGCGGAAGCTAGTTTTCGTCTCCCAAAGTACATGTCATTAAATGTATCAAGTCCTAAAATTTTTCTGCAAAATGTTTATTCTCTTCCTTTTACTTGCTTTAGTTTAGTGTATTTTCCTCAATGCCGCTTTCAAAATGTTCTGATAGCTTATTGTGTTTGACTTTTACACCCTATTATTGTATTGACACAAATTTTATGTGATTAGAATAGTTGTCAAAATATCTTAAAAGTTAACTTTCTTCATTTTTATTGTAGAGGTAAGCCCATTTAAATTCCGACCCGAATTTACATCGACTGATAATAATAATCACCTAAGGGGTCACTTTCGGCCAGATTAATCAGTCGAGCATTCTCTTGGATTCTTCTGGCATCTGATGAGCTAAATAGTGGAATTTACAAAAAAATTTAGAAAATACAATTGCACATGCGAATTACAGTTGATGATCATAGGTGGTTAGAGTAATAGAGACCCGCTTTTGGTTTCATTGAAGTAACCTAGAAGACATGGTTCTTTATCAAGCATTTAAGATGTTAAAGCCAAAGTTTCACTTTAAATTTTTGCATTGTTTGTCGTGATGCCAAATTTTCATGTGGCTCCTATATTTTCATATTTTTGCAGCGGATTCCCAATCGTGTCGAGTGAATTCCGATTTCGGTTTTGGCAACTCCGATGTCTTGCCACTACTGCACTAGATGAGTACTGGCTTTGAGTTCCTCACACTCTATAACGTTATCAAGCTCGGAATATTACATTACAATATGTTAACTAAGTACTTACACTTTCTCATCTCACAACTGACATTTCTAGTTACAGGGTGACGTAGGTAGACTTAACTTGTTACATGTTATTAAATGGCTCTAAGTACATATATGCATTGATCCCAAGCACTTTTGCTATGCATTACAGGTCAAATTGTTACAATCCTTTTTTCTTTTTTCCAGATGAATTAACACCTAATGTGTGATATAGTAGCATAGCCTAATAGTAAAGCGATTGTCTAAAAGGTCTTTTGACACTTCCGTTTTAATTTGATTTACTCTTATCCTAACTGCCATAAATCCGACTAAATTAGTTCCCACTGACAAACGTCCCACATTTTTAATGGCCTTTCTCCATTTCCATGGTACTAACAAGAGTCCCTAATGTAATTATTCAGCATTTTCTTTCTTCAAGACTATTTTTAAAATAGACTGGAGATAAAAAATCCTCATTATCCTGGGGAGAAGTCCTGAACGTAGTTCTATTCACTGGAGCTCATGGCTATTCGTACTGAAATTATTCATGATGTGAAATTAAAGTAGGAAAAGCCAGTCTTGCTTGGAAACCGCAAATTCAGCAAGGCGCATGGATTTTACAAGGGGCAAATTTGCATTTTTATCGCTATCAACCAGAACTAGTTGGTATCTTCTTGTGGCAGCTCACCCGATTAGCAGAGATCAGTCGCATTATCAACCACATTTTGAAGACGGCGCATGGTGACGCAAGCGAAGAGCTCATGTTACGGAATGAGTGAATAATTACCAAGATGATTGGACGGAACCATTGCCGCTTTGCATTAAGCTATGACGGCCTGATCGAGATGGTAAATGTCAGCATGCCTCTTTACCCATAAATAAACATCCCCGAATAATGGTGTCGGTATTTCACTAGTTTAATGAGTCAATGCATTTAAAAAGAAAACAAGAAATTCTTGAAGGAGGGAATCTATCCTAAAAATGCAATGGCTTTATCCTTTTCTTGTCCATAGTGGCCTTTCTTAAGAATTTATGCGAAAGAATAACTCACAACGGCAATTTTCCATGAGTCAATCACATATTTTGAGTTCAAAATTAAGTAGTGAGATATTTTTACCATAAGTTACTTATGCCCTAAAAGGTTTTCTTAAACCCTTTTAGTTATTACATGGGTAGTGAATACTGATGCTGGGGAGCCAATATGAACCATCTGTGAGTTTGCAAGCTAAAGTAATTATTGGAAATCCTTCAAGTTATTTTATCTTGCCAATCCTATATGTGCAGCTCAAATTTCCTGTGAATCTAAAGACTCCTAAGGCGTTTGGTGTACTTTGCCGGGTAGTTAAATGAAATATTACATCTTCATTTAGCTACTGAGGTTATAAGTGCCTGAATGAATTGGTGTGTATAATAAACAGAACACTTTTCAAGGTCAAAAGGCCGACATCCCCAAAATTTTGGAAAGTCTAACAATGTACCGCACAACGCTCCCAATCGTGTTCACTCGATACCCTTAACACGGTATCTCCATCGATAAACGGTTAATAATCTACTCCACTTTACTTCATACATGAAAGTAAATCAATCGGGGCCTTGTTTTACGAAAGCTGAGCTCCAGGTTTCCTGTACCATCGTTTTGACTTATTAACAAAGACAACGCCGTACCAGAGGTAAATTTACTTCTAACTAAATTTGAGATTTCACGACCATCTTTTGAAAATTTTGTGCCGTTAAGTGTAATTTTTATTTAAGAATTTGTTATCGTTTGATTTTAAATTAAACAGTGGAATGATATTTTTGTGTTAAAGTCAACACCTTCAAGATACCAGCAGATCCTGGCAGTAAAGTTGACAACTTCACTAAAAATTTTTAATGAAATGCTAAGGAGTATCGACTTTTACATGATTATTTCTTGTTGCATTTAAAATATCTTGGTAAAGTCCCTTTTATGGCGCTTTCTAGTGCACACATTATGGCATGACTCCATAAATTAAGGAAAATTTACCAGCCAAACGACGGAATACACACGCACGCACTCTGTCCACTTCACTAAACCCTAGATTTTCGTCGTTATTTGACTTATCAAAGCTAAAACATATATTAATATCGTTTTTTGATGCTTAATGTGTTCTACCAATCTACAACCAACATACACCGAGATCTTTAACTCGACAGAACCTCTCAGTGTCAATTAGCAAATGAAATGTTGCCAAGCTTCATCAGCAGTTGATCTATGGAGATGATAATGTGCAAAAAATTTTATACATACTTAAATAACTTGTAAATATGGAAAATTTTCCAAAGGGCCAATTTAGAATGCTCTACTTGTCATGAAAATTAAATTATTAAGGCACTTTTGTATTTCCTCCACCTCATTATTTTCGTCCAAATACAAGAAGATACGCAATCCAATATACTTTAGAGAATTTTGGTTAGACAACAGGCTGTTGACCCAACAATGGACACAATATGATAATCTCAAAGAGAGACAATAATGAAAAATATCAAAGTGCGGTTAAATGAAACTCACTTCACACTCTTAAAATTAGTTTGCTGCCTACGTTTGCGTCTAATAAAATTCTTCTAACTGAGATTTCCTCTACCGTCAGCGTATATAGCATCTTAATACTTGTGATAATAATCTCACCTAAAATCATCAGATGCATGTACATTTCTACCTCCGCATTAAAACACTTTTCACGAGTAGAATGCGCATTGAAGTAATGGAAAAGGTAAACGGACTGTCCTAGGATATTTTCATACTTTCTCCTGCAAGCCTATTTTTATCCTGGATAACCTTGTCTAGATGCAGCATTGCTGTGTTTTCAACTAAAATAGTGACATTAGCATGAGTTGCGACGCCAAGTAGGCAATTAGCTTTACTCAGAGATTTACTCCACGTTGATAATTTCGGTATTGAGGCTGGATTCGGGGTAAAAAATGAGACTAGCAGAATGGGAATGCATATGGTAGGTTTCCTGGGCCCACCGAGGTGGAGAATAAAATTGGCAACGACTCGGAGATGCACATCCTTTACGTCTTGAAACAGCCCTGACCTGCAGTAAAGAGGTAAAATCATAGGTAGTTCAATCCATCAGGGTTTTTCAGATCTTTTTCTAATTCCACTTATAGCGATTAAGTCGATAGCAAATTATAGTGATTTGGATGGTTTCTAAATGACTGTGCGAAAGATTTATTCGGTAAAAAAATCTTACAGTTTCTGTTCAAGCTATTAATTTCGTAATTATTGCGTCATATTATCCATTCTAATTTATTTACATGTACCGTATTCTATATGTTCACATAAAACAATTGCAATGGAATTGTCTGTTTATGGGGTGTCCTCTAGCACAGCTTTTAACTTAGAGATATTGAGAAAGACCGTAGTGAGCGAAATTATTCTCGCCAAATTTATCGCTAATTCCTCTTTTATTGCCGAAAAGAAAACGAATGAATGGAGAAGACGAAAATCGGCTTTCAGACATGCGCGTGACCTCAGTCACCATTTGTGTAATGCGCAAAAGGTATCTCCTAAATGCGCGTTGTCGTGGTTCAGTGCCTAGTACTGGAGATTACATAGAAAAACGCCCAAATACTGTCGGTGGCCAATATTGGCCACTTCCAGCTTCCCTTAACTTGCCAGGATTGCCGACCGATATGGGCCAGCCGTGGGCGGAGGACAGTCCGCTATCTTAGACGGAAGACGACCGCCAGTCCATTGTCAGGGTGGACTTTTATGTGTGTTTAAACGCGCGTGTCGGTGGCCTTTGGCATGCTCGCTTTAATCCAAGTTCTAGTAGCCTGTTTTCCGTTGGCGAGGTCCAATACACAGTCACGAATATTCCCCGTACGCACATCTCTGCATGTCACGTGTTGTGGAATTGCAGGAAATTGCAGTACTTTATTTGCTTGGTTTGTACCAGAGGACTATAATGTCACTTGAGTTTGACAATTTAAGCAATTTGGAATTCCTAATTACAATGTAAGGCATCAAACGACGCATTGTAAAATGCATTGAACTAAAAAGTGGATGTAGTGGAATTGAATTCTTTCATGTGTAAAGCCTCATATACAGTCCTTATTATTAAGGTGCCTATACTCAGGAAGTATAGGAAATATTCAGGTCGCGTCAGTCTACAAGCAAGTATCTTGATCATTGAACATATTTGTCACTGAAAATGCATAAACCGTTCCATTTCTCTGTACCTCTTTTCCGGTCATGACTGTGATCTCACTCGCATGCACCTTACCATTAAAAGTTTTTAAAACTTTCCTCTTTCCCTCTTAGCTCTAAGAATTATACTGAATGAAATGCTAAACCAATCGGCAATTTGTGCACTTGCTTAGTTCAACACTATTAAAGGGAGTTTTTTTAATGATTCCTTTCCGATGTTGAAAGTGTGTTGGAAGTGGACTTGCTGTTCTTTGTTTAAGTTTAGGCTATTCAAAGTGACTATTTTCTAAGGAATTCAATGAGATTTATTCAAACAACGCACAAATTTAAGGGGGGAGTGCAGCTATGATATGCGTATCATATGTACTAATACCTAAAGTTGCGTTTAGCTTGTCGCCCAAACATTTCATTAAATTGTGTCAACCATTGTTCCTTTGAATACCGTGCAGACAAGCAGTTCAGTTCGATGTCGTTATGATTCAATTTAAGTATATTTCATTTAGGAATTTTTACCTTGGCTTTTAAATTGTTTAAGTCGACATTTGCTTAATGCATTCGTTGATTTTTTGGTTGAAAACAATCCTGCTAGATTCGCTTAATAGCATCTCAAAAACGGTGCCGCAATCAAAATCAAAAGCTACTTTTTTCGATCTCTTGTCTTTAAAACATTTTTTTCACAAAAGTACTCGACGAACAGCAAAATTCTCTACATAGTTAATAAATGTTAAAATTTTAATGGCCAGCACTTGCGTTTAAATGAAAGAAGGAAAAATCACCTGTTTTAACAGACTTTTCTATTTCTTTCTTAGAAAAGCAACTTTTTTATCGACAAATTATGAACTATGGGAATAAATTGTTTTTTCCGGTCCAGAGTTTCAAGCACCACTTGTCACTTCACGTTTTTAAAATTAACAACAATCATCAAGTTCCAAAGTGCTTATTTTACCCGTGTCATTCATTTGTTAAAACAGTTTATCCTTCATTAGAAATATTCCTATGAAATCTTCCATTTGTAATGTTTTTATGCTTCCTCGGCTGCCTTGGATCAATCACAATATTTTAACTTTGCATGCAGGTGCTAAATCATATCCTACTGATAGTGGGCGAAGATCGGTAGTGCAGTCGAAAATGCGTGTGGCGAGTGTGCGATCCACGTGCTGGTAATTGGGTGAAGTTATTGTGAACAAAACAAAAAGTTTCGCCCTAGTGCGCAAGAGCGGTCGGACCGAGTAAGTGCTCTCGCATCCCATAAAACCAAGAGTATAAAGAAATAAATAATAGCGCATACGCGTGCAGGAAGCAGACGAGTAAAAGCGCTTATTCCTAGGCCGATCCGGCGGATCAAGATGTTGATTCGTAACGGGAATCCGATGGTTGCAGCATGACGATTGGGAGTTAATATTTGAAAATTAACTAATATGCCTAGATTATACTTAGTTCATTGTACGTCTCGAAGAGAGTTCTATTTAATTAATGAGGTAATCCGTGATTGTCACTTCGATAAATGTCTAAAATCCAAGTCTTGATGGTTAATAATTGGTCTAACCTACGCGTAATGACCCAAGTATATGTTGAAATGACTCACTCGAAGAACTGACTGATGAATAGATACTTGGCGTTCCATGTGATAGATCGGCTGTAAAACCCATCTGTTTCTGATTAGTCTATTAGGAATAAAATCCAAAGATGGAGCGTGGGTCCTGAATCCTCTGTCACAACCAAAAACCACACAAAGGCTAGATGAACGGTTTATCTCTGCCTCCATATCAATTTAAGGCGCAAATACGCTAAAACACAAAAGTTATGTCGGTGGTGGATTTATGGCACTTTCTTTTTCGCGATTATCAAAAGTGAGCCTAAAACGATCCAGCAGATTTTTAAGTCGTTGATATCAGTGCAACTTCTTCGTTTTTTCGCCAGCCGGAAAACGACCCTCGTTTCCAATTGGCGCAGGGTGAGGGGGTATATAAGACATCTTTATTCATAAGTCGACGACAAAAATCTGGCAAATAAAATCGATTTAATAAGACTGAGGGTAAGCCGAAATCTTAAAATATTCCCCAAAATATTGAGGGCTCATAATTGAGTTTAATAATATTTTCGACACGGCTATAAAATGCTCGCTCATGCTTACGCTTCTTACTTTACCACTCAAGTGGAGAAGCTGACGAAGAACAGGTTTTGAGCAGATTTGATGGCAGTTCTTGTCAAAAAGGAGAACCCTGTTGATAGGCAAAAAGCGAGAAGCTGAATTATTTGAGATGCCTATGCCTTCAACGCTCTTGTGACAAGCGGCAGCTTTCTTGGCTTGTCACCAACCCTTTTCCCCTCGAGAACGCCCACCATACCACAAAGTTGATGTCCCTTTCTTTTGCATTTCCTTATGTGTGCAGAAAAAAAGATTAAGCTGCTATGCTCTGGAGCGTAATAATTTGCTTTCACTGTGTTTCATTGTTTGATTTTTTGAATTCCACCAGGTTGGATTAAAATCACGCTTCTTTGACATAAAAGTATTATTGAACTCAAAGCCTTCCTCAATTGACTAGATTTCCCTGTATTTCAGGAATGGGCAACAATTTTACTTTGCTCTCTATGCACATGAGTAATCAAATGAAGTAACATCAAGTTCACTGGTGTTCGAAGTACCCAAGAATGATACTGTAATTATATGGAACCCATTTTTGACTAGTACATTTCTTTTGTTTCTGATATGCGACGCTATGCCAGGTAGACAAAAAAATGAATATCAAATCCTGCATACTGATGATTGGCGATTGTCAACACATGCGTGAAAGTGGTAAAAAATCATAATTCACTTGATAATCACATGTTAATCTTACACTCTGTTACCATTACTTTGTACAGATGCAGTTGTTTGGCACTGTGGAGTGCTCGAGTCTAGGAAAGACCAAAATGGCTTCGGATTTGCTTGGAACAATTCCTTTAGGTTTAAACAGCCATAAAAGAATACAAAACTAGTAGATTTCAAATGTAAAGCTTTATAGGAGAAGCCTAGTAGGCCTTGCATAATTAATCGGGCGAAAACTACCTATTTATCCTGTATTGATGTGAGCGGTGTAGATTTCAATATAGTTTCTTGACAATGGCTCCCATCTTTCAAGGCTTAGTACGGTCTTTTCGCCTTTACGTCTCGTAGGACTTAAGAACATAATATCCGCTTCTTTAAAGTAGAAGTCTACTTTGTACGTTTACCACTTTATTGCCCAATTGATGGCCGTTACTGAAATGATAAATAGTTGCCATAGTTTTTCGTGCTCGACTTCAGACCATGGAGATCTCTCCACCCTCCGAGACGTCTGGTTTCTAAACTTCTGTCTAACAAACACCTCTCTTATCAAATTTATTTAATCCTAACATACTTCCACCTATATATTTTGAGGATTTTATAGTTGATCAAGCTTTAGTCCCAGAAACACATCCATTGATCTGCATTAGTCTTTTGCACATGGAATACACAGCTGTGCATCTGCCGCAGAACTGCCCTTGATGTGAATGTCAAAATTCCGAGTTGAAATTGCCTTCGACAGCACCAGGTTATGGTACTTAAGTATGCATGTCATGTTAAGCATCGATATTCTTCCTAATGTTTTCTAGAAGCTTGGGCAACAGCTCTATAATTTCCGTAATTATGTACCACTACCTCAGGGCCGTCCTTAATAGGCATCCAGAGTCCATGCTCACTTCAGGCGAAGTGGGAGGTTGCAATAGTTTTTTAGTATTCAGGTAAAAAAAATTAGGGCAAAATTAAGTGACTGAATATTATCTTTGTAATCATCATTAAGGATTTTAGAATAATTGGTGACAACTCACTTATTACAGTTTATGATATATAGTTTAATATAGGGCAATAGCTACAAGTGATTAAAATTTAAAAGCTTCCTGAGAAATGGTTGAGATACAATGCTTCAACGCATATATAAGACAGAAAGAAAGTCCACCAAAGGGCTTATTCAAATTTTAAGCTACAAGTTGCATTTTATTCTGTAAAGCTTTTAGTATTTCGTGGTTTTGAATTGAAGAGAAAAGCTACTTTCATTCCGTCAAAAAAGTTTTCGAATGTTTTTTGCACTTGTCAGAGCCTAAGACAAACTCATCTCGCATGGGCGACGCTACAGTGACTGTCACTGAGCTAAGCACTGCCTCAATGACATAAATATTCGGCATTTGGGCTCTGTAAGACGATGATTTGGCCAAAAACCTGAAATAAAATGTACTACACGATATGGGCTTGCTTCAGTTTCTATTTGATGGGAATTACTAGCACTTGACGGGATGTTTACGTTTTTCGAGGTGAATTCCGAATGAAGCAGAAGAAAGTTACTTTAATAGCAGTGCATCGAGTTTGTGGAAGTGAAAACCGATTTTTTTGCTCCGGACGAATCTTAATCTTGATTATTCCGGAAGCGATAAGTTATCTGGATAACAGTTTCAAACCGTTCTTCTCCAAGCGCACAAACTTACTCTGCTTGCTTCTTTTTTCTTTTCTAAATGCGCACGTGTGATTATCAAAGCCTATCACTCTGAATACCTATTCGTCAAAGCATGGGATTTGTTTGTTGCGTACACACCAATGCAGGGAAACAGATTGATCGCAAAAATTATAAAATAGAATTCTCATTCAATGTAATATGGTTGAATTAAAGAACGTTAATCAATTTGCTTTACATTCTAGATTTAACGACATAGTGTTGAGGTAAACACGATTTTTGCCCTGGCTGCTGCGATAGCATCCTGACTACCGATTGTCAACAGTCAGTTAATCCATTCAGTTTATGATTTGTTGTGCAGATAAAAGTGCAAAAATAGTAATTTGGATGGACACTAGGATAGCTAGGGCATGTACAACCACTTAACCTCGATTTACGCTTCCCCGTTTAGTCAAGTACATCCCTCTGCAAAAGCTAAGTTCAAGATTCCTACTTACTGAAACCAGTAGCATTCTATTTAACAGTCTTATCCAAATCTTGGTGTTTAAAAATGGGGTTCACGTATCAATGCGTCTGCAGAATGCTTGCATACGAATGAACCGTGAATGTATACATTCACCACTACTGCTTTGAATTTGCAACCCGTTTGCAATCCACCAGCCTCGGTTTGTCTTCATTGTTCGTGATATTTCCATTTGTCTTCATTGCATCCTTGCACTTTATTGCACGATTTGTGGATTTTCAGTACAAAAATAGGCTTACAAAGCTTTCAGCTGGCCTGATTTCTTTCAAACCATTCGCTCAGACCAAGGCATTGCTGCCTTGCTGAAAGTAAAAGTGATCTCAATGTGATACCTTCAAACCAGTACAAATATTTACAAAATTTAGGGATCCGCTGTTTAGAAATAATAATGTACCTAATTGCTGAAAACAAGCGAATGTCGTTTCGTGATAATGCGACTTGAAAGTGATCCGAAACTCAGAATCTCTAAACAGTTAAAGGCTCCTACGGGTACTCGATTGTGCCAACCTCAGAGAATTATGCAGACGTTGAGACAAGTAGCAGGACTTCAGTCAAAATATGAATTAAACGACGAGCAAGCAGTAGGCAGAATTTTCCAGTGTGCCCTTCTCCCACTTCCGCCTCATTCGCCATCAATGTTTGAGTTAAATGTAGGCAGAAAACGTCGAGTCAAATTTTTGCAAGCAAATCGATCCCGAAACAAAGCACTGTGAGGCACTGAGCTAAGCATCTTCAATACCGTCTGATGAAAGAAAGACTATCCTGAAGCATCAATTTCTGCATTAAAATGATGACCCGAGTAACTCACCATGAGCTCAGGTATAACGGCGCGATCAGCAGCAGGTGCCTTTGATTGCCACGCGCAACTCCCTTCAGAGTGAACGTACTCTTCACACACCGGTGACGCACCCTACTGCTCGTTAAACCAAACACCTTCAATCACACTAGCTTTGTTAGAAACATAAGAGAAACGCAGATCACTTTAAGAAGACTTAGTAATCAAGTAGCTTTTATGTTGTATGATCGGCAAACACCGAAAGTTGCTAACTGCACCATCTACACTTTCTGTTTGCAAAATCCACAAGGTTTAAATCAAACGCAGTTTTACACCAATTTTTACACAGTGATTATTTCGTCCATTTCTAGACGGCTAGGGTGGCGCTTAGCTCACATCACCTGATTTAGCATCAGACACGGCAAAATACAACTTCACCGAAAAAAAACCAGAAACTCCCCAACTTAAAAGGGAAGAATAATATGTTGGACACTAAAACAACGTGGCCGTTTCGTGAATCGCAATAGTAAATGCATATTTATCATACAGTGTTTTGAGCAGTACGGAAAGTAAGGCTAACGGGATGAAAACCAAGGGTTCCGGGTAAAAATGACAGTGAATCACTATATACATAAAGACAGTGGCTGACAGAAGGAAAGAGGACTGAAAGTGGGGAAAAGAATCACAAGAAATATTTTAACCCCTGAAGGGGCCACAGCGGAAACGGCCATCAGAAGGGGTTCCAGGAGGGGTTGATGGGGGGACACGGTGGTGCTGATGGAAAGAGCTGGACGCATCCACTTGCTCCCTCTGAGGGTAGGAAGGACGTGAGGGTTGTGCAGTAGATGGGGTTGGGTAGTTTCGACGGTTCAGAGCCAATGCCGACTCCAACTGCCTTTAAAGGGATTAATATAACCCTTGTTAACATTTACACCAGTGTCAAGCATCAGGTAAATCAGAGTAAAACTTGAACAGCCACTTTAATTAAGAGCACCCACTCTGACTGGGGGGAGAGGGAAGACCTATTTGAGGGCCGAGAAGAGAGCGAGGCAGTAGAGTGTCTCTGGTGAGGGAGAATGTCGTCGTTGGGGTTTGAAACCGCCACGAGGGTGGAGGAGGTGGTGTCAACATTAGTGAAACTGGAGTTCGACGTCCGACTGTTTATGGAGTGGGGAAAAAGCGGTGCGTGGTTGCGAATGCCCGTCCGCTGCCACTTCAGACGCAGCTGTTTCACTCTGTATGGATAGTGGAAAGTATTAAAACGCGCATAGATAAAAACGAATTCAGCAATGCCCTTTGAGCCATGTTATCAGATGGTGTAAACCATCGGTAAAGTTAGACTTGTCTGAAAGCAGTTCAACAGGATGCATCATCTACGTAGGTGGTTTACCTGAGGATGATCATGATGCAGCGAGCAGCAGCGCGGAAGCGAACTAGCGCCGGAGGAGAGTCAAGGGGCCAGTGCTGCGAGGGAAGGGGATTGCCCTCCATGTCCTGTCGACTGGAGGTACCCATCAGCAGACCCTGGCCAAGGCTTGCTGTTACCCGCTGCACCGAGTGCTGGAAGTCACCCAGTAACAGCAAGAGGTACTGCTTCTGATAAACCAGCGCCCGTCGGTACGACTCCATGCGCAGGTAGCGCGCCGACATATGGCGGAACTGCAAACGGAAAGGCAACAATTTAAATAATCTAGGCACATTACCGTCTCAAGAAAATATTGGATAGAAAAAAAAGGGGAAAAGTAAAGCAAAACCCAAAACCAATTTGTATTACCAGTTCGCCGTCACTAACATCACCGCATGGTAACACTAGAGGCTGTGAGAAGCGAATAGATTGATAGATAAACTGACTTGAAGAGACTGAAAAGTGAAGACAAGGCTGGCTGACCTTCTCAAGGGAGACTGAGCGCGAATCTCCTGAGGCCTGGTGATTAGCGAGGAGAGAGCACTGCGTTGATTTACTCTCGGAAGGCAACTAGAGTGCAAAAATGCCAATTGCAACACGTGACCACCTTTATCGTTTGTGGTGTAACTTGTGCAAATAAATTTTCGCATCCGACACCTTTTTTTCACACACCATCGTGCCTATAATTTATGGATTAGTAAATCACACGTCTTTTGTTCAAATCAGAGTTGGAAGTTAGCCTTTTGATAAATTTCAACTAGAAATTTCAGTTGCGAAACTGCTCTCAATGTCAGGGAACAGTCAGAGAGAAATACAAATCTCTACCTCCTTAATGTTAGTTATATTCGGGATTGTACATTACTTTAATCAGATGAGCAAGTGCTTTTACAAAAATACTGTAGTACGGTGAACGCCGAAAACTTCGCTGCGGCAAAATTAGTCATAATAACATGACTTTGTTAATTAATCAGCTGGGGAAACTCACATGACATATTAAAACATTATCCGTTGAACCTGCAATTTTAGCCAACCCTGAGTCCAAATGAGCGACTCCGTTAAGGATGAGCTGTTTCGCCTGCGCGAGAAGAGCGTTGGCAGCAGCAGTAGAGACGGAAGAAAAAGTTTGAAAATTGACAACGGGACCACCAATTAAGCTGCGCACATGGGACTCAATCTCAGCAAGACAAGCACAGATCTCCGCGACACCAGACTGTTCCAAGAAGTCGGCCTTCTTACCGCCGAGGATGGCATGACGCAACAACTCGGCGGGGTTGTTGAGGCTGTCCGAGGACGAGGAGGAGGCGGCAGGAGAAGGCGTGGATTGGTCGCCTGTGGCTAAGGAGGCGAGGTGCATTAGCCGCATACAGGCGAGGTGGAGGCGTCGCAGACCAGCCGGTGCGTCGGCGAAGCCCGAGTCGGTGAGTTGCTTCGGCAGTGGACGGTTGACCACCTCGCCGCTGAAGGGGCTCTCGTCATCTCCGCTGGTGCTGCCACTGCCACCACTGCTACCACCGAGATGACCGTTCTCTTTACCAAGACATATTGGCAGCAACGCCAATTCCGCCTCGGCTAGCGAGACTCGCAAATCCTCATTACAAGCCTGTGGACAAATGTTGGAATGGTGTTGTGTAATCGCACCAACCAGACAAACGAATCCCTGTAGAGTGGACTGATATTGGCACTGATAATTAGGTGGGCAAGCAAAAGCCCAAATATTCTTTTTTCCAGCATTAATGCGATATAAATGAGACTTTCAACCATTAGAAATAAGACAGGTCTAAAAAAATCATGAACGGAAAATCACTAAACACAAATGTCGTAATTTGAAATTAAACCAGATTTATAGTTGTGCCAGAAGTCAACAGGGAGGCGCAAAACACGTATTTTAAATGACAATATCTTCCAATGGATACAAACTAAAACGTTTCTGTCTATCTGCATTTCAACACAATGAATGCGTCTATTTATTAAGGTTTCATAAATAGCAATAGAAAAGTGTATAAATTAAATCGTCGTACGTGCAATTCACGAGACATTTTCTCTGCCCGAATAGCTTGAAGCCGAACTGATGCAAGCTGATTAGAGACAGTGACTGTAGATAATTCATTCTTCTTTAAACTGGAAGCTTGTAGTGTGGGGATGCCACCGTTGACATGTGACTTTGGACCCAGGCGAACATACGATCTATTGTTGAGAAGGAATAACATCATTCATGAAATATTTGTAGGTATTTGTGCCTCTGTGTCAGTGTATTAGCAAATTGTTTTCGTCTTTATGTAAAGCATTTTTCTCGAAAAACGATTACGTGAGATTGCGAGGGGGCAAGCACCAAATATTGGGGACTTTTGTGGCTCCATAGTACATGGTCGAAGTGGCCAAACTTGTCGTCACGCCGGAAATATATTATGCATGCACACAATCTGCATACTTAAACGCATGGCGATAGGGCTCAGACTTGCCGACTTACGATTTTAAAGCCTTGATCTCTTGTTCCAATTGAGCGATTCGGGTTTCTGCTAAGTGACTTCGATTTTGTTCCAATCGCACCTTTGCAGAGGAGTTCTGAGCACCAAAAACGAAGCAGATACGTTACTTGTGAAGCGAAAAACGCCCCAGAGACTGTTAAAAACGCAATACATATACCACGTCGATTATTTACAGAGGAATAGCTAAAACTTTGTTTCCAACTTTATTAAGAAAATTAAACCTCAAGCTCACAAGGTCAGCATATGCATAATGAAGAGCTACGAGTGAAAAAAGATAATAAACGAACACCTACCCTGGTATCATAGAAGTTAACGAAGTGCCTTACCTGCAGATCGCTTTCGAGAGATGCCACTTGCTCACGAGTTTGAATCAAAGCACTTTGAGAGGCTCGGAGTGTAGACTCCAATTCTGCGACATGCTGACGCTCTTCGCTAATCTGACGTCTAAAATAGCAATACGTCAAACCGAAAACTCGTACCAACACACTTTCGGTTAAAACTTTATGAATATGCAGACAAAGGAAGAACGCATACTTGAATAAAAGACTGTCAAAAGTATGGAATAAAGGCTAATAATACGGGCTCTCGTAAATTGTTAAAGATCTGAATGCCTTCTCAGGGGATAAGATTATATGAAAAATGAAGGCAAACCGTAATACTTATCGATATCTAGATGAGAGTTCTACGGCATTTTTACACAAAAATTAGGTCGTTTGGAAAAGTGGAAAAACGGAAAATTATAATTGAACTACGAGAACCTGAAAAAAAACATGAAGAGTACAATCCCACGAGAAGGAACAAGAATAAACGTGGCACCAAATACTTCATAATGCACTTGCATACCCGATTTGTTGCACTTTTTAATTTGTACTGACTGCTTACTAAATTAATGCATAAGAGCAAACGCCACAAATACGTCATCACAAATATCGTCAAAGGTACTTACATGAATTATGTGACGAGCATAAAAAACCCATTTAAAGATGTCTAGTGGAATGCGATGCTATCTGCACATAATTTTAACATATTCTAATTCAGTAACCTTCTCGAGTGATGCTTTCCACAACCATCAACAATGAAATAAAATAATACATTAGTCACATCAATGGGGAATTACGCAGTATCACCAGAAAAAATAATGTAGATCTTTCCTGAGAATAATCGCGGTTTGCCGCTAGATAAGAACCAAATTACGCATTCTTTTTCGATTGAAGGCGTTGATCTCACTGATTTCAAAGTTACGATTCAGTCATATCAATCACACAGACAATCCAGATTTACTAATAACCATTCCGTTTGGAAGTGTGCCTAAACTAGTCCATATTTCAGCTTGCATATGATTCAGTGGTTTTGATTGAGCATGCAGGGTTAATGAAAAGCGAATGTACCTAAACAGCATAAAGTGGTTCTCATTTTCGGCTTTTACGTCAGTGAGTTCCTTCCTGAGCCCAGAAACCGTCGCTTCAAGAATTCTCCGCTCCGCAGACAGCTCGTTCACAACGGTCGATTTCTCGGTCAACGAGGCATCTCGAGCTGCCAATTGGTTGGTCAGGCTAGCCACTAGAAGGGGGAATAAATAACTTCTATCAAGTACTTTGTAAATGAGATCATCAATAAAAGGGTGAAAACCGACCTTCACCGAGGAGTGATTCCTGGCACATTTTCAAAGAGTCTAAATTGGTGAGAAGGTTCGTTCGATCAGACACTAGTGCCGAGGAAAGCACATTCCAGTGCTGAAAAAGTTAAAAATTGCCTTTAGACACGAGGCAGGCACAGGAAAAACCTTTAAGTAGCAACATTCTCGTGAGAAAGTGATGGAAACTCCCTTCCCCCCCCCCCAAAAAAAAAAATGCATAAAAACGCACATTAAAAAGCGAACTACACATACAATCCGACAAGCACTTTAGTAGATTAGCACTTTAATTAGTCGACATATAGGTACGATGGCTTGGGTGTAAAGAGGGAGTACCTCTTCCTCTGCGGCAGCATAGTCAGTCAGTGTCTTCAACACGTCATTAATGTCGGCCTGCGAAGCAGTCTTTGGTCTACTAGGTCTTGGGCGAGCCAAAACTCCACCAAGAGCAGCGTTCGAGGCTCGATCGATCGTGGTTGAGGTGATAAGCAACAAATTTGCCTTACGATCCGCTAGGAGAGCCAAAAGTAGACTGGAATATAACTGACTCGATAAGTCTCGGCTCGTCGGTACAGGAACCGTTGATTCATCTGTCACGACAGGCTCCGCTTGGCTACCTTGACGTAACGGATCCTGTTGGGGTGAGATTCGTCAAAAAAAAATAAATTAATGGAAACATTGTAAGCTGAGGGGTTGGTAACAAATGTGGTTTCAGAAAACACAAACCTTAACGATATTCTCAACGACTGATTTGAGCGTTCGGTTGGCCTCAATGAGCCTACTGATAAGTTGTGATTTGTAGTCGTTTGGATCAGCTAATTCGACCTCGTGTGTAGGTGTTGCTTGTGAATGAGCTGCCGTGAGGGATAAGCTCAAAAGGCGGCAACTCTCTTGCTGTAGGTGATCCACGAAAGCCTAGCAATACCATATAACAACGGTGCATGACAGAGGTGCGGTGTAGGGAATCATATTATGCTACACAAAAGTGCTACGAATATTAAGGGTGTATCATTCGTCAATCACCGAAGAAACATTTTACGAGCGAAGAAACCGCTAACCAAGGCTTCGTCTGCAGTAGGTGGTGCAACCGAGTTGACAGCAGCAGTTTGTGCGGGGGCGATGGAGTCGCCGTCGAAGGGGAGGTCCTCCTCACTGACACAATCGGTGTCGGCACAGGACTGGGTCTTGGGAGTGGGCGATGACCGCTCGAGGTCTACCTGAATGCCCGATTCGACAGTCCAATGAGGCGGATCAGTCTGAGAGGCTGTCTCCTCCCGGGTGACCTCGCCTTGTCTCCCCGAGGGCGTGATGCAACGTAGGCCTGCCAGCTCCTTCTCTAACTCATCCACGCGATTGGAAAGGGCCTCCTGACGAAGCAGAGAAACACTTCTAACTAACTCGGCAGACAAACATGGGAATACATACGCGATGTTGATAAGCCACTTTACGTTAATTGCTATAAACGTGAGTAGTGGTAACTGCAACCTCACCATGAAAACCAACATACTTGCAGTGATTTGATAAAAGCATCGGGGCACGGTCGCGTGACATCATGTGTTCTGAAACCCTGTTGACTGCAAGGCATGAGTGTGGGTCGCAATTAAGAGACGCACACTCACACAAATGGTAATGAAACACCTAACACAATAAGCTAAGACTTAATCATCGCGTATACGGTGACGATAGTGCCCAGAACGTGAATGCGCTTTAAGCTTATTCCAGGTGTTCGATTTCCTTTATTCAAAAAGTTCTTTACTGTATGAAAAATTTTGGCTAGTTTTGGGTTGTAAAGTACAACAGTAGTTGGACGCTTTGAAACAAAGGTAATAGTTCCACAAGCACGCATGGCAAGTGAGAGTGAACGCATCAGACTTGCAAAGCGCAAAGCCGGTTGGAGCAACCTGCAGAGCGATTTCTTGTAGATACCCAGGAAGCCGGAGTTATGCAAATCCTAGCATTTGGTCAAATTTGACGAGTATGAACGAAGCATTTAAAACTGGGTAATCTTAAATGCTGGTAAATTAGAAAATCCCAAATTACGATAGGCAGTGGACTTTTGTTTAGGAAGTTAGGCAACGGCTGTCAAACAAAGATCGGCATTTTGAATTCAAGGAGGCGTTAAAATAAGTACGAGAGCAGTAAAAACGAAAAAATCCTTTCTAAAGATTAAAACAAAAAGTGGTTCACCGGGGCGAAATTAAGCTCACATCAGAAGTCCCATTTCTGCACAGAAAAGTGCAGTTTAGTAGTATTTGATGAAACTTGACTACAAGATGAAATTATCAGTAAATCGAGTAGGAATAGTGAGAACTTGAAAAAGAATGAAAAATGGACCTTTTCCTCGTTGAGCATGTAAAGGTCTTCATCGCGCTCCTCCACAGTATCGCATTTATCGTTCATCCTCTTTTGAAGCTTCCGGACGGAGGTGTCAAATTCGCCCTGCAGGAGTATTGGCACCTCAAGGAGCTCCTTCTGCAGACGTTCCACCTCTGACTGTCTCTCCTCCAGCATGGACTGCACCAACTCAAAGTCTCTATGCAAGTCGTCCTGCGAAGGAAATAAGTACGACGTAGGCCAAAAACGTGTAGTAGTAATGGACGGAATAAAGTGCATTAGCCATCTATGGGGTCTGCAAGAAACCGTTATATTTACCGTTTTCAGTTCTGTACCTTGGTTATCCAGCAAGTGTTGTGAAGCACATGTAAGGTAAAATGTTTGATAGTACATCTGGTACAATTTGTGGGCTAGTATTTTCGGGTTTATGAAGACTGCCCAAATATATTGCGATTTGGAACTACCTCCCATGATAAACTAAGCCCAAGGCGTTGAGCACCCAAACTAGCACCTACTTTTTGTCTAGTTTACAAACAAAAGCAATTGATCCCAATTTGCTTGCTAGCTTGTAAGTAAAGAAATGTGATGAGGCGGCATACCGGAACTTCAGTTAGACAATGACAGTCATGTTATATGACCGAATGACCCTTGTAAGAGCATTAACTGGCTAGAGAATGGCCACGCTCAAAATGTTTACGACACCGCAATCTAGCGTAATGAAGTAAATGCTTCCTTCATTTATTTATTCAGTAAGATCAATAGCACTAACAGAGACTAGTAATGGGCGTTTGGAAAGTTAGATAATGCAGTGACAGAACAATTAAATTTCCTCAAGCTAAAGAAACATGAAATAACAACGCCGAAGTACAGGTCATGAGAATGTGCTTTCAAAGGTATACTTAGCGACTGCATTAAATAGGAGGCCCTTTTAAGACCAAAACTAATTAAAACAAACCAAGTGGGACCATGTGCATTAAGGGATCTCAAAGAAGATAAACGAAAGTCGAATAGATGGTACAGGTAACATCTTCAAAGTGTGTCGCTTGGTGCGAATTGAAGAAAAACCACATCGGTGAATCGATACTTACTTGGTAATTAATGAGACCATTTATTTCCGCCTTGAGAGCCTGAATTTCAGCTCTGGCCTCTTCCAAATCTGCCGCGAGATGGTCACTCTCACTAGAGGACTGGAATACAAAAGGCAATCAAGTTTCGTAAAACCGGAAAAAATACCACAATTGCTCTGATTAGCCAACGCCACACGTTTCAAGTACCTTCACAATGATTTACAAATTGAAAAGTTTGTCCGGCGAAACAAAGGGATGCCAATTAAGATAATATGGATGAAAAACGCAGTAAAGGTTGTTGTTCATTCCAGACATCATGAGGCAAGGCGCGGTGCTCTTTTACACGATTCAGTGCGAGAAAACTTTACAAAAATACTATTTGAGCGAACACACACATGTGCGCATCTGGTGTATCTTGACAAATACGGAAATGTATTTAGAAGTTCACATACAACGTCGGTATTAAGCAGAGACAATATGATACATTACGTTCCCAAAGTATGGATTTTTAGTTAAACTGAATTAAAACGAAAATTAGCGTTTAGTGTTGCCAATAGAATGGTCCTAAAAAATACGGCAGGAACAAGACGAGGCATAGACATAAATATGGATAAAATTAACGAGGCCAATGCAGTGACAAAACCGACCCACACAAACCAGCCTGCGCGACTGAACCTATCAAATCGACCGGGTGATGCCTCCTTAGTTCACCACCAATAACCATGCGTAAAAAACCAAGTCCTCTTTGTGGGCAATATTTCCGTGCTTTAAGTGGTAGACCTATGAGTTACGTGAAAAATTATGCGGCTTATGTGAAACCACTACATGGGAGCAGACTTGAATGGTTTCTTAAAATAGTGTTGATTAAATTTTTTATCTTTCTTACAAGCTGGGACATTTAAATACAACCCTACACTGCCGAATTTATTCACAACGCAACAAGCAGTGACGAGAAGGCGCTTTCTATAAATTGAAGGCTAATTGCGCTTCGTGAATTAAAATGGGTGAGAAATTAGCTTTCCTTCAAGTTTGTCTTCGGACAAACTAATTGTAAAATTATTGTAAATTTCGTAAACAGGAATTATGACCATGCACCACAGATACACCCCTTCCAACTTCATCATTAATGCACAAAGTCCTATCCAATCTGCACAAAAGTAGTGAGCCCACACAATCATAGGCAGTGACTAAAGACATAAAAGTGATTTGTTTGGAAAAACTCCAAGGCATCCAAACAGCAAAATGATATTGATCTATTATAAAATGTGTGACTTTAGGATAACCGATTTCATAAATGCAGATAATTGAACAATACCCACCTCCTAATGGAGAACTGTTGTCTCTACCAAAATGCTTCGGAAGTATTTTTTCCAGAACTTACAACTTGTTCCGGTGGTTGGCAGAGCTCTTCCTCATCAGCTATTTGCGCATCAATATCAGCAGTCTGAGAAGAGGCACCGCTAGGCGGAGAAGAGACGATCTCGGCGTTGGAGGAGCTCGAGAAGGTGGCAGAGCGGTCGACCACGGGCGGTGGTGAGAGGGTGGAATCGCGCGAGCCACGCGGCGACATCTGCGGGGTCTGGGCGGAAGTAGTGACGTAGTTAGTAGCCATTCCATGGCGTGACCAACAAGCTCCAGGGCCAGGGGACACGTTGGGCGAGGTCTGGACACGAGCACTTGCATACGAGTAGATGTTGCAGGGGGACTAAAGAAAAAAGCGCGTAATGTGTAAGAAAAGCTGGTGGACAAGGAGCACACTTGCTACATTACAAATGCAGATAAGGGAAAGTGGAGGAATGAAGACGTTAACAAAGCTTTGCTGCAAAATTCTAAGCAGTTGTGATAAGGAACAGGTCCTTACTTGAGGCTGCTGTTTTTCAGATATAGGCGAATGTGGAGTAGAGTTCAGTCGGTTCCGCAGGATTGCCAATTCTGAGTTTTTCTCAGCCAAGGCAGCTTGAGCCAGGGTAAGGGCCTCACGCTTAAAGAAGAAGTCGCAAGGTCACGAATCTGAATCATGAAGTAGTTTAGGAAATGAACAAAGTACTCTCACCAATTCCTCCATCTCCGCGACGTGACGCATTTCCACATCCAGGCCGACATTATTTGCTATTTTCGGCGAAGCTGCCACGCAGTGCCGAGAGGAGCGGCTTCGACGTTTCTGAACGGCGTTCAGATTGGTTCGCTTTTTTGTGGTTGTCGTCACAGTCGTGGTCACGACGCCCATGGCAGCCGCCGTGGTCGTTGTCGTTTGCACATCATCCACCTCGTCCTCCGTAGAGATAAGATCACCATCATCATCGCCGTCAAATTCCGTGGAGGTGTTAGAGCGACCGGAGATGGAGGTTTGAACGGAGACAGAGGCATCGACGAATTCGATGGGAGACCCTCCCACACAAGTGGTGGTAAGTTTCACCGGTGGTCGAGTCTGTTGGCGCAGAGCTGCATCGTCTGCGCTGTAAGGACGACTCTGGGGAAGGAATGAGACCTTAATGCCGTTGAAGTCCAGCAAGACCATAATCACATGCAACCTATTACTACGAAAAGATAGGGGAAGTATTATCAGAAGAAAAACGATGTTGTGCCATATACAAACAAAAAAGTGCTACCATCAACAGGTTTTCAACCACCAAATGGAGAAATCAAACTTTTACAATCTATCCGTTTCGGCTAGTGCGGGTTTCCAAATAGACGTATAGAAGCTTTCAAAGAGCTGACTGTGAACACCAAATACTAACAGTGTAGTCGCTATTCAACTTTGGCAATTTAGAATTAATCAAGAACCACTAAATATTGTTCTCGATGAAGACATTTCCTAAAAGTGGTGGCGCCATTCGGAAAGCTGCACGAAAAAACAATTTATATAATTCTCAAAAAACCAAGGTGAACATTTAGAACCGCAGCCTAAAAGTGCGTGAAAACACCGATAGCTCACGCGATATACATACCCCACATAAATTCAACTCTGATTGAACGATCTCCGACCGCAAATTGGCAATCTTGTGCAATTCAATCTCAAGAGCATCTAATCGGCAGACTGCCATGAGTTGCTTGAAGTATTCACACTCGCTAGGCGAGTGGTAATCGCTATCTTCACTCCAGCTTGACTCAAATGTGTCGAAGTGGACGCAGTGGGGTGGAGAGGAGGGAGTGCGTCCGGATGGATCTGTTACAACTGGCCTGTCAAGGCAGCTTGACAGGCAAGGGGTAGAGATAGCAGTAGCAGCAGAGGTGGTAACAGAGCTAGGCTTCATGCACAAGAAAATGAAGCAGTGTGGTGCCTAGGCATACACGCATGCACTGCAAACCACTCAGCCCTAATGAGCTGCTGCTAAGGAACCAATCAATTGTTTAAAACGGATCCACGTGCGTGTGCGTAGGAGAACTGAGAAACCTGCCCTCATTTCTAACGTCTTAGGAGAAGGCTACTAGAGCAGAAGGCGTGATTAAGAAGAGTTCAACAGCAGTAATGCCAAATTCGCCAATCTGAATGAAAGCACTTGCATTGCCCCTCATCCCCATTCTAAAAAAGGCTCTCTTTATAAACCAATGCGTTGACGTTATTCACCAAGGATATTTCAAAGTTGCAATTAAGATCACTTTCGGAAACGCAAATTCGGCAGACCTTTAAAAAATAGCGCAGAGGCAAAGGAGAGGCGAAATCGCTAAAGCAAGAGGCGTACTACGCAATTAACTAGCTAACACATTCTCGTAAACTGCAGCAGAACTCTGTAGTGTGGTCATTTTACGACATTCTGCGAGCTTGCCACGAAGAAATTGCAGAAACGACAGCTAACTGGTTTAATTATAATCCGTGAGGTAATTAATTTGAACTAGTTCATCAAAGTGTGGTTTCAACATCACAAATTAAGCAACCCCGTCACCCCCAATCAGAAACTACTAGCTGTGGCCAAATTCAATGTATCAAAAATCTCCAAGCAGGATAAGACACGGGGCCGATAAAGCGAAGAGAGGAAGAAAAATGAAAGCGCCGGTTCAAAACCGAATAAACGATGCGTGCAACTTACCCAATCATATTGGTGCAAAGTGGGCAGACCGGAAGGGTGATCCAATATGCTTTGGGGTGTGGGGGCGAGCTCGAAGGTAGGCGAATCGTCAACATCGCTGTGATCGGAGGAGTCCGGTATAGAGAGGAGGGAGGGGATGGGGGGGCAGGGACGCTGGTGTGTAGTGGGCGTGGAAGTGGCCATTGTCTGTGCTCCGCCCTGTCGCACCTTCGCCTTTCCCGGACTGACGGCGGGGGTGTGAGTCAGTGACGATGACGCCGACGAGGACTCTCGCGACTGCCGCCTCTCCAATGCTGCCAACTTGGCCCTGGGAAAAGAGAAGCCATTACTTCGTGAGTGCAGCAGAAAGGGAGTGATTGAAGTCATGATCACTGAATTGGTGGGTGGTAAGACGAGGAATTTTGTGAACGTTTTTTCGAAAAATAAAAAGACTATGGTAAATAAACTATGAATTTCCATTTGCCCTGCCGAAAAAGTCTACTAGATAGCATTTGGGAGGCCCTAGATCGTTATTTGGGAGTTGCATACACTGATTTGCAGCTGGCACGAAATTATGCGAATATGCATTTAATGGAGTAGGCACTCCAGATGTGGTTTGATTGACTGACAGGAATTCAGCACAGTCTGCCACATAGAATACAGAGATGTGGCACATTCGTATGTTTAATGAAACAATTACCATAGATGGCGAAATGGCTGAAAGCAAGTTTGTAACATCTGTTATTCGATTTATTTGAATAGTAACACACCAACAGGATAACGCTTCAAGAAATAAAAACACCCAGTGAAGGGTTTGCCTCACACAAGCAAAGCGCTCAGGTGTGCTTATCACATCGATTACCACAAAAAAAGCTGCCATTGTGGGTGAAGTCTAGAGCCTGTACCTGCAAATATCGGCTATTTCGAACTATGGGGTGAGGGGTTATAAGAGTATCTTTGAAACCTTCGCCGGGAGTTTGCAAGGGAAGCGTGGTAATTGTACAAATTTGCACCTAACTAACCGGAGAGCAGCTATTTCAACCCGAAGAGCGGACACCTCTGTCTGAAATTCTTCGCGTTCCTGCTCCCGTTCTTGAAGTTGTTCATTAAGAAAACGCTCCTGAAAGTTGAAACAAAGGGCTTGCGTGCTTATTTAGTCATCGTATTCCTATATCGTAAATGCCATAATCAGGACGTGATATGGACCAAAGCCGAGGCTGGTAATATGCGCCCTTTCGAGACTGTTCGAAAGTGACATAAGCGCACAGTTTTTGTGACCCAGAAGGGAAGAAAGTATGAGGAGCATCATTTAGCAGCAACATAAAAAAAGCATAGGATGGCCAATGTCACTAGTAAAGTGGGTTGATTGTGATGTAGGAACAGTGCTGGTTACATGGATACAAAGGAGTGAAATGGCGATGGCTCACAGTGGCGTTGAGTTTTTGCACAACGGCATTGCGCTCGTTTTCAAGGTTGCTGGCACGCACCTCGGAGGCAGAGAGTCGAGCAGAGAGGTCGGCTTGCACTTGCTCCAACTCAGCTACGGAGGTGGCGTGAGTGCTACCACAGTCCGCTAAGCGCTGGTTTAACTCCCGCTGCAGCTGCTCGCGCTCTGCTTCCAACACCTCGCTCATACGCATTGCCGCTACAGGGCAAGACAGTCACAAGCACATCATGTCTTTTATGCCATGCACTACTGCTGCATGTGCTAGGCTACATAATTTACCTGGACTCTTCGCACATTTATTGCATTCTGCTGCTGTAGCACTTTACAGAAACAGCTGGGACAAAATTCAAAGATATTATGGCATTCCACTAAATAATGTTATTCATCGACCCTTTCGAGTTTTCTCTGATTGGTCAGTCTTGTGACATCGTTATTTTGGTAGAAAATTGACCACATCTTCTTGGTAGGTTCTCACAGGCTTGACACACTACTTCGTACTATAACCACTGAAGGATTGCAATGAGCATCCTGGAGCTAACGTGGCTCAGCTATTCCAGCACAATGTGACAGTCATTTTTTTAAAAAAAGCTAATGTGGACAATTTAGAAACTAAGACAGGATGCTTGTCGTATGCCTTAATCAAGGAGAATTTCGACACACGCTTCAAACAAGTTTGGCCTGCACACTCTCTACTTTTTTTCCATAATGAAACAATAAACTTCACGATTTCACACTTCTGTGATTTATCATGGCGGCAATAAACATGTATTTTCGTGCTTTAATGAAGTCCGTACTGCATACTAAGGGCGTTTGAAATAAAAAATGACCACTTTGCGAATGTTTAAACTACTATCACTTTTAAAGGACGATACGTGAGAATAACTCCGTTTATACGATTGCTAAATGAAGAAGTTGAGGTTTTTCCCATGTGTGTGAAGTGAACTGAAATATTTCGAACAATTAATTAGCACAACCGAATCGGATAAGCAGAAATGGTGCAACGATCGAGTAAAAGGAATCCGAGAACAGAAAAACGGAATTGGAAGTGAGAGAATAAAGGCGTCTAAGCAAGGAAAATGGGGAAGAAACCTACCAATACGTGAATCGCTTGGCAGCCTCTCTTCCAAGAGTCGCTCGGCCTCCTCGAGTTTTTCCCTCAACTTGATAATCTCCACCTCATAGGTAGGCTGAGAATCTTCAACCAAAATCAACAACGTAAGCAAAATCAGACACAGAACAGCAGACTGCAATGGTTTCTTGGTGTAGCTATATATACAAAGTTTAAAATCAATAATGGATTGGGAATGACACAGGCCATAGCGCCTACCATGTACCTCCCCGAATAAACAAAGTGCATTCAAAACAAGAAAAAATCCCTGTCTGGGGAATGCGGTTTGCATGCATAAGACAAGCAGGTAGCTTCACAACACGAAAAAGGGTACTACCACGGCGATCATGTAAACCTCCAACGTATCAGTGCAAGTTGCAAATAAATTTAATTGAAATTTGCTCAATTCTAGCAAGCTTTCTAGATAGAAAACGTCGAGCAACTTCGAGCAGACCTTTTCCCAAAGCCGTTACTTTTCAATTAATAAATAATCGGGGTAGCAGTACCCTCTAGAGGGATAACACGAGCAACATTCCCATCGAATGTCACGCACTCCTAGACGGACTCCAAAGTAATGGCACGCCTATTGACATACAGTAATGAAATTCAGTTCACTAGTAACCTACTAGAACCTAGTTTTCCACTAGAGGTGCCCAAATTGTTAATTAGAATTCCTCCGACGAGGAATTCTAAAATCTTTCTTACAGGAGGGTTTCAGACAATGCATTAAGCGCAAAGAGGTGCAGTGCAACTCGGATGTTTACAAAGATTTAATAGATCAGCAGTGACGATTACCTAGTTTCTCTTTTACTTCAACAAACGCCGTAGAAATTCGGTCCACTTCTGTACTGAGTTTTTGTAAGATAGCTGGAATGGAAAGGTGAAAAGCATTCCACTAGGATGTCGATGAAGTCCCATTCAAAGGGAAACAAACACTTGATACTTACGTGTGAGATCGGTTGAACTTTCATTATGACTAGACTTGATAGCTAAAATTTGAAGAAATCCCAACATGACGCGTTATGTAGTGCTTAAGTTTACCTACTAAAGTAAATAAGTAGAAAATACGTGCCGGAACCGGGTTGGGAAGCTGCACCGCAGAGGGCACCAGAAAGACGTTCCTGTAAACCGATGCAAATGTAAGCAGTGGTGGCCAGAGAGTCTGACAAATGACGGTTTTGCTCCTGGAGTCTAGCGTGAAAAAAAGGATATAGGGACCCTCGCATACACAACCCGAACGAGCGGGTAAAAAGGGACAACTTACGCTTCGGTGGCCAGATGGCACTCGGAAGAAGCATCCAACATCTGAATCAAATAATTGTCCAAACAGCTTGTTAATTTGGCATACAAACTAAATCTGTCCGTGCAAAATGGCTAAGCAAACACGTCAAATGATTGCCTAAAAGGTATGGTAAATCAACTACAAGGTAGGGCAGTCATTATTTCCTAAGTTGCAATTTATACCACTGATACTGATTTGATGTGATATGCCTGTTTCAAACAAAAATGCAAGGGTAAATCTGGATATGTCAACAGGAATCCCATAATCTTAAAATAATGTCACTGACAAAAGTGAAATACTTCAACCATTACTGCCGTTTCTGAAAAAAGTTGCCTCGTCCCGAGAAGCAAACAAGTATTGAGATCACATATCTTTCGCAGGTCAATAAAATCCCGCCGTTTTGCCATTCACAGACATTACTAAGATTGCCAAGCACCTTCTAGAAGTAACACAACCAAGCAAATGAAATTTCGGATACACATGACACTCATATGAGAATGGCACCCTGATCTCAGAGACTACTTTGTTAAAATGGTAAGTAGTTTCCGCTAGGTATTCGCATTCCCATGCCAGCTGTCAAACCTCAGGCAGCATCCTGAACTGGTTAATATGACCTTAAAAAAGTGCACGCATACGACCAAACTACCGCTAGATGTGAATGAAATTGATCCAGGTATACTTAACACGACCAAAAGTAGCAAATACGCTTTTAGGAAAATTTAAAATTATAAGTGAAACAAAAGTACCTTTTTACCGAGATCAAGAATGGGAGAGCACATAAGCTCGTTGTACCCTGGAGCAGGACCTAAAACGGCATCAATTTTTCTATATCCATTCAGATGATTTAGCAATGCCAAAATGAATTTCGTATAACCGAAACGAAATGCATAAGTTGCATTATTACGCAGATTGTTGCGTGGACAGTGTCGAAATCTAAATAAAAGTTTACCTGACTAAAAGGACAACGGTTGAATGGTTTAGGCAGCAGTGAGTTTAATTAAGCCCGGAATGGTTTGCAATTGCAAACCAGCCAGACGTTAAAAGACACCTCAAGAACTCACATTAGTCCAGAAAAGATACCGATAATCTTATTTGCTTTGATGCACCCAGTCCATTTGAAAATCCGAGACCTACCTTGCCTCGCAGTAGACTCGGAGAAATCGACATTCAGTTCTTGCAGGGTAGATGCCGGCGAAAGCATATTTTCGCCAATTGCAGAGGGGTTTGTCTAAAAAGGCATTCACTTGATATTTAATGATTTGCAAGAACATCGGTACTAAATTCAGTGTCGCAAACGGCACGAATAGAACAGACTTGAGAACAGAAAATTCCCCAATCTTATCCATTTGCCGAAGATCAAGCTATTATTAGCACAGCGTTTCGCTGATAAAATTTGCGTACCTCCGGAAGGGTAACGAGGCCGGAGTGCGTATTTACGGAGTCCACTGAACAGTTAAAACAGTAGAAGGGCATCTCCGTCTGCTGACCCACTGACTGAAATAAAGGTTAAAACGAGCGATCAGTGGAATATCCGTATCACCAAACTAAAAAGAAACAACTTTTGAACAAAACTGCGCAACGAGTGATGATAAACTTTATCATCATAATGTCGGCAAACAATGCAAAAGCACCGTCGCTGCTGTTTACCTAGCTTTGAGACTGCGATGGAGAAACGAACAATAAAGCATGTGGAATACATTCTGTGTTACTTATGTCATATTTCTTCGTAGGAAAAGGCAACAATAACTTCAAATGGACAATACAGGGATGTAAACCCCTGAAGGAACTTAAAACGACATGAAGCATTACCGACTGTGCAGGGGCATTCCTACCAAGAACCTGAATGAATGGACGTTTTGTCAGTATAATTCATGCAACGTCGGACCATGGAACAGAAAATGCAACAGAGCAACCAACGGCAAACAAGCATGAAAATGGAATAAGTTATGGGAGGTAGGAACGCGGTCAACTTTGAAGGCCCTGGGCAATAAAAACACGGCGAACGCGCACAGCAGGGCTCACAGTAGTGCGATCATCGCCTATTCGCGGTGCTAACGACTCGGAGATCGAGGAATCGGAGGGAGAGGTGACATAGTCAGTCAGCGATTCGCCCAACTCGCGGCCACTTTCATTCACTTTCCCTTCCTCCTCTTCGACTCGAAAGCTAATAGTTGTGGCATGTTCAGGCATGGATATAGTTGCCTGAGCCGAGATTATGCGACAACTCGACCGATGAGGAGTGGGAATGCGCACCACCTTCGTTTCGCTGCCCGAAACATCCACCACCAGGCACTACGCCAATATTAACCGAGTAGCACTTGTAAATAATGCAAATACATACAATAAAAGACCTAGCATTTTGGTGTAGACATTGAGCAAACTGTTTGCTTCCTAATGGCAGCATTAAAGAACAGAAACATGACCCTCACTTGAACATGTGACGGGGGCCATTGCTTTACGATCCGCTTCAACAGAACGCACCTACTCCTTACAAATCAAATGATTACTGGAAGTTTCCAGAAACCACAAATGTTTAATATAGTCGTACTACCTAACACCGCAGCCGCTTCACTGAACATGGTAGACTATCAGACGAAAGCATTTATTAATAGGTGTTGGGTAATACAGACAGAATGGCAATCACTCTACTAGTACATGAAGGGGTTCCGCATGAGACATTAGTAGATGCAATGGCTTCTCACAAGCAAAGTTAAGGACAATAAAAACGCAGAAAAAATAGAAATTCAACACGAGAATGAGGTTCTGAAGCCGCACCAAATTATTGTCACTGCAATCCAAATGGTTAAGCATCGAAATTGCAACTTTGACGACTGTCAGTGTTAGTGAAACTCTCCTTTAATCACAAAGCAGCTAAGCAGCAGTGGATAGGAACGCCCCATGAAGGTTTGGTGTCTTATCAACTTTGCAGATGAGTCACATCGATCTTATCAGTCTTCGATAAAACTAGAAACAGGTAATGCATGCGATTAGTTAAGCATGTGGTAATTCACCCAGGCTCCATCAGATGCTGTCTCATAATCTCTTCCACCCACGAAAATCATAGGCGTTGAATTAACCAAAAATACCACTTGAATAAACTATTAATCTCGACTTTACGGAATTTATGATAAAACATCCAAAGAGACTTACCATAGACGCGCGGGGCGTGCGTGAACCCTCCTCTTTGAGTTCGTCGGGGTCGCGAACCTTCTCGGAGTCCATTTGAACACACGAAGCGTTAGTCTGATCGAGGGAGATAGACCAGTCAGTAAAGTGCTTGTTCTCCGACAGAGGAATGGGGTTGGGAACGCCGCCACCGACAACCCGCGCTGGTGACGCGAAGCTCGCTTCCCTAACTGAGGACTGACAGATCTAAAAATGAAAAGTTCCACTTTACATACTGATATAGCCTTGGTAATTCAAAGTTCGTATCATTTGACGTCCTTATTGTTTGCAATGATAGGAAATAGCTTCAACCTAGTTTTACATGACGAGATTTTGGTTGTCACGACGGCACTACCCTGTGTATATGTTCCAGTAAAAAGCGAAAGCCGAATCAGGTAATAGGGCTTTTGACAAAAGCACGTGACCTATGCAGAGGAAAAAGCACCAACTGGAGCCAGATACAATAACTAGGTAATAAACATACGTAGACGTGGAAGTCCCCTGAAGGTAACACAAAGACAAGGTTCTAGTAAATGATTAAGCTACCATTTTCGCTCAATTTATGCAGGCATTAAACAAAGTAGTATCTAGGGTCATGAAGCAAAGTGGCACTAGATTGTGTCAAAAAATACCTGATCACGAAGATCACATAGCTGCGTTGTCAGGCCCAAATCATTCGCTTGCCTACAAAAGAAATGCTTTACAGTGAGTTACAATTTCGGAAGGCCTAAATTTATTTGAAGTATTGAAAAGCAACTGAACCCAACTGACAGCCCACGATTATCCGGCACCTGCCCTCAGTAAAACCAACTACTTTGCAATGACAACGTACAATGTACGAGCTATTTTGGTCAAGATAAACCATCCCATTGCATAGTGATTGCACAAGAGTAGGAATCTATGGAACAACCTGCCAACAAAAAATTGGATGGGCTTAATAATTAAATGATTGAAATGCGACTTTTTATCCGCTATCGCCAAGATCTAAATCGGATTTTCGGTATGGGTCGATTCGTTGTGGAAGACAGGAGAGAAAATGCAGTAGCACCTTATAAAGAAAAGAAACAATACCCCCAATCACAGGTAAGAGAACCAGAATGGTGAAGAAAGAGACCTACGAAAAGGGGGGCCACTTAAGGAAACTTCCACTTACGAAAAGATTACGAAGGGGTTGATAAAGAGGATTACTTTCCATCTAAAAAGATCCCTAAACGACTAAACACAATTAAATTTGCTTATGTGCGGATTACAAGCGCAGGGCTACTAGTGATATACAACGTGACTGCCTGGAAGAAAAACAAATGATTCCCAAAGTTGTAGGAAACACCACCGAATCGCCTACTTTCCTACCATCATTCACTTTGCCTAAAACGAGTATCTTCCTTGTGACTGCATAATCGTATGAGTGCGTGAACACGAACGCAGATGTAGGCCATGTGAATTCGGTCTTTTTCTCTCACATGCAAACAAAAAAACACCATTTTCGAGTAGTCTGCAGCTAGAGTAGTGGTGAGGTGAGGTCAACGGCGCACATGGAGCTTCAAGGAAGCATCAGAAATGACGAAGAGATGCCAGAACATCGACGCTACAAAATCTTACCAAAATAGAGGTCAGTCTATGCATAATAAATTAGCAGCTAATTAGACGAGGGACAAAAGATAAGGCTGTTTGCGATTCGCTGATGGGGTGAAGGGAATAATGCTATTAAAGAGAATTCTTGTGTACTTGGAGCAATTGCATGGGGGCAATGTGTGCAGGATTTCGCATACGCAAATGGGCATAGTTTTGGCTCTTATGACAGAAGAATATAGAAAGCAACAAAATACTTTTCAACGGTTTAATTGTGCTAAAAGCTGCATTCGCATAAAAAGTCAACTGATAAACTGTACATTTTACAAGGGGAACCTATTCCTAACAGAAAACCTCGTAATGGATGTGGGAATTTAGTAAGATTTTAAGATGGGATATGCAGTGACGATGCACGTTTTGTCACAACCAAACTCAAACTTTCTAATTACACAATTCTAGCAATTCAGTTAGAATTAATGCCACAAAATGGAAGTTAAAACGGTATACGATTTACTAATGGCTGAACATTAAGGCACAAACCATGAAAATGGAAAACCGTTGGCCGACGACAAACAATGCGCCTGAGAATGGAACCTGTATCTTGAAAGGGTTCGTTGCGATGTGGAAGACCCAACCCGGTTAAGTAAAGATTAGTAAACCTGGGCGACTCACGTGGATGTAATGGAGGCCTGAGGGGGAGGGGGTTTAGCACGGACCTTCTCCAGCTCGCAGCGCAATTCTAGCACCTCATCGTAGAGCTGGAGGTAGGCCGCTCTGTCCACGACGTCACTCCCCTCGCTCTCCGCGAGAACACGGGAGTATCGCGTCTCAGAGCTCCCGGCAGACGGACATTCTGGCGCGACAACAGCCAGCTGAGGTGGAGAGGTATCCGTCTGACGCGGCGTCGTCAAGGACGAGGGTAATGACTTTCTGGGAGTACTGCTTAGGGATGCACTCACGCCTTCGACGAATGGTCCGCCTGTCCCCATAGGGGAATCACCGGATCCTGTAAACACTACTTTGTAATCACAATGGATGCGCATAGAATAAAGTACGTTCAATTTTCACAAACTTTTGGCATTAGGAAGTACCCAACTCTCTGTTACAACCTAAGTTTCTGGTTTCGAGAAATCGTAAGAGCATCAAAAGCGTTGAATTGTAATAATGACTTACCTTATAGATCGCGAAATAAAGCAGACAGTTTTTTCACTACATTTGCACTAATATTAAGTACTTTATGCCCAAAAAATTGCCTTAGAGTATTTACTACTAAACATTAATTACCAAAGATCATGTCAATAAAAAATTACAAAATATATGACGCGCATAAGCAATAAAACATTAACTTGTAACTTATGGACAGCATATGCAACCAAAATAATATGGAGTTGTGTAATTACTACATCGTTATAGTATCATTCGTGAGGACCAAAAATATGAGTTAACCACCTACCAGATGGTTTGATGGGACTTGCGTCGAAGGACGGGAGTTTTGAGACGACATCGTTTAAAGGAGGACAAACTTCAGGTAGCAGAGTGGGCGAACTGGACGACTGAGGTTCCAACTCTGTCAACTTTTGTAGTGCTGAATCGACCCCCCCCTCTACCTCATTTTCGTCGCTCGAGTCCTCGTCCAAGGAGTCAAAGCCTTCCCACGCGGTGAGAGTGCTATACTCCTTGAAACGCATTGAGCTAGTCTGGGGGACAAAAATCAGAGGTAAATCGTGTATGCGTATGCCAAATGAAATACAGTAAATCTGACTTACTAAGGTGATCACAAGCATAATGAAACTAAATAAAGGCGAACCATGCATACAGTACAGTCCACTAATATAAAACGTAAAAAACCCACTAATTGCGATTACAAATCGCAGATTTGAAGACACTTGATGACATTTTGTTTATATTATCCTTTGAATTTTTGCTCGTGTTAAGGGAGAAATACTCTTATTGACGGCAGGTACACCGCAAGTCATTCGCACCCAGTTGATCTTGATACGGATAACTAAGCTGGTAACTTTGAAGTGATGTCCATATATAAGGTAAAAATGCAACGATTGAGTGACTTGAGGTAAGGAATGCGCAAGCACACGAAGCCAGGCATAGTTTTGGCTCTAGTAACTTGTGAAATATTAGCAAGAATCGATTTTTGTCCATAGGATTTTCGACGGCTTGGAAGCAATTAGTGGCAATTAAACGAATGATGGAAGTCGTTGTATAGCGATGAACAGATCTATAATGAAATAGCAACGTTAAGGACTGGGCGTTGACCAAGCAGTCACCCAGCTTGGGTGCGCCCACACCCGACTACCGTAATGCAACACTGAAAACCATCACTTAAAATGACTGAGCAGCACTTTTCAGTGACCTCATTCGTCCAAACGTCTCCAAGATCTAACCAACATGCATCAACAAAAGCATAAATTAGAAAAACAATCTAACAAAGTGGAAACAGTAACAACCTACACGAACTTTATCCATTGACGACCTATATGGAAATGCAACCGAGGCCATAGCATTGGGCACAGGTTCAGAAGATCGTTTTCGGACTGCTGAATTTGATCCACCCGTCGACTGAGTGACTACAGTAGAACCAGCAATCGGAACAGTGGATCGGCGTCTCGTTAAGTCTATAAAGGCCTTTTCCGCTTTTCTTGCACGGTCGTTAGCTTCACCAAGTCTTTCGTTAAAGTCCTTTTTTACTTCCTCCATTATCGCATTATAGGCATTGTTTTCCATTTGCAACCTCTCATCTAAAATGAAAATGACTGCAGGAAGAACATAGCCCACCCCGTACAACCAATTAATATATCCGGCAAATTAAAAAGGTGTCATTACTGGTGCATCGTACTTACATTTTAAACAATGTTAATAAAGCATAAACAAAAAACTTCGAAATTAAAATAACATAGAAGTACTTTGGTCCCTGAGAGATTCGAGCTCTCTCCGTAATCGGTTCTGCTCGTGAAGGGCTTCACTTAATCGTATCTGAATTTCAAAATCCTTCGGGTAATCTTCAATTTCCTCGCGCATAGACTGTAGAGCTTCAACTTCAGTGGCTAGCAAGGCACGCCACTCAAGAATCGCAAATAGGTGTTCGTGCACTAAAATACGAGGCAAGATTCTTATAAGTTGGGAAGTACGCGACGCAAGCAGAAAAAAATAGCTAGTGGTTCCAAAAAAGTACGCAAAAACAAAAAGTTACACAGATGCAGAAATTATTTCACCAGCAGAAGCCACATCTTTTGGAAGAACGAAGATGCTAAGGTCATTAAAATCATCCGAAACAAGCTTTCTTCGACGACATACGTGGACTATCGTCCAAATTGATTCCATCCAAAATCTCTGAATTCTCGTAACATTTCCGAAATTTTTGGAAGTGTTCAGCGGAGCCAATCGCGTTGGACAATTTTCTGTAGTAGTCACGGCTTCTTTCCTCCAAGTAATTTATGACCTTTACAAAGCACTCATCTCTGCCGGAGTTCAATTCTTCTCGGAGGTAATCTACCATTGCGCGACTATCATGAGAAAAACAGCTTGTCCACTAAACTTTAACTTTAAAGCTCGTTTAGCGCGGGTCCCTCAAAGGTGTTAAAAACAATACATGTTTACCCAGACAACAATTGAAAATCCAAAAAAAGTCAAAATTCGAATTTTTGTATAAAAACGTAGTCACGGCACATAGGTGCCTTTGGCCTCCGGTAATAGAGTTGTGGCTCTTAATTTTCTTGTCAACAGGTATCATTTAATTCAGTCTAAAAAGCCGATTGGCAGTCCTGAAAATAGTTTTCTTAGATTAAAATATATTGTTTAATGTGTCATGCTTACAAATTTGTGAATTTTTGAAAAGACTACCAGCAGATGGTAGACACAGCAGAGGAGTATTTCAACATATTCGGCTGATCACTTGCTGGAAATGCAACACAATACGCTTATTTGACGTTATTCCTCCCTAGTCAGCATTTTTACCGTGACTACATAATGTATTAACTTTTCTGTGGGTCCCCGATGCCTTCATATCCTGGTAAATGTTTGAAGTTCTCTGAAATCATGGAAAGTCGAAGGCGCTAAAATTCCTCACATTATTGTAATACGATAGTGGTTTATCCCTCGGCATTAATGAGGCGCCACTTTTGTGCTTTGAATTAGCCCCCTTGTACCTTGCTGGGTGGGCTGGCCTTTTGAACCATGCCAATAGCCCAGACACCTTCTATGCGGTGAATATATGTTCTGCCCGAGTAATTTGTCTTCTTTCGTTTTCAGGGAGTCCCGGAACGCTACAGTATGCACATTTTTAGCACATGCGCTTACACATAATTCAGTGTTTTACATGTGCTCTACTTTGTTGCATGCCACCTCTTCATTTAAGGAAAGAACAATTCCTTTTATTAGCCCATGTGCTACATTAGTATTGTTGTTTCACTCTGGTCACTTAAATCATTTAGTTTTGCTTGATTTTTTAACTAGGGCATTAAGATTGGTGTATTTCTGTTGTATCGACACGGGTTTTTGCTTATTTAGTATCAAGTTCGGGTGGCACAGAGGAATGCATGCAGAGGACCCGGGAGGAGAAAGCATACTCCGTAAAGCAAAAATTGTTTGCACAGTCCAAAGAAATCAAATCATTACATTATGGGATTTATATTACCAATGCTCTGCGAATCTCCCAATTCTACTCTCGCTCACTAATGCTACTTATGTGTTTTGCTGAATAGCGTCTGCATTGTGCGGAAGCATGACTACTACAGGTAGTTCGAGCTGGATCAAAGGGTAAATGCAATGCGTTGCTAGTTTGTTTAACTCAACTTTAATAAAGGGACAATTTTTTGCTTCACCATAGCTCCTTGGCTCGCGGGTTGGCCTCTGGGCCGTGCCAGTAAACCCAAACCATACCGTGTGCCAATAATACATATTCTACCTGAGTAGCTGTAGCCTCTTGAACCTCTCCCGAAGATAAAAATAGACATGAGACTCGGGCGGAACATATGCATTCAACATAGAGTACGGGTCGGGGCTACTCACATGGCTCGGGGGCCAGACCACCCGGTGAAGGTACAATGGCCAAGACATCAAGTGGCCCTTTACCCAAACAGGGAGCCAAATAATCAAATTTTTAAGTAGTATATCTTTTCAATTAGGAAACTCCAAGAACGCTACAATGGCGGCTGTGGAAAGCAAACTTGGCGTAAAAGAATATCTGCCCTGATCCCTGCTGCTATGTAATGCGTCTCAGCTACAAATTTCCTACAAATACCCCATTACGGAGTTACCTACGCTGGTCTGCATTAAGGCATCGATAAAGCAAACCTGCAACACCTCATCTATCAAGTGACTGACAGAACCTTGATAGGTATGTCTGAGTGGCTCTGAAGTGAGAACAGGGTGGCAAAGGAACAGAAGAGAAAGCCTAACCTCGTGAGTTGTGGCAAATCTGCTCCTGGGCCATTGCACCTACGTTAAGTTATGGACACGCGTGATGATTGGTGCAGTTTTCCCGCCCCAATCCAATTTCCATATAAGACGGGAATGTTGATCCAGCTGAATTGGCAGGAGAAAACACCACATTGCTGTCAAGTTTTTTTCTAATTGCATGAAACTTTGATGACTGGCGCGACTGGTCCTTGGTTGCTTTTCGTACGGCGCCGGTTACGTTGTAAAGGCTGATGCGAGAGGTTAGTTTAGGGAAGTGCCAAGGGCAAAGCGGAAAAGAGCAGAAGGACTGTGTAATACTTTAATATCATAGCCTTGATAAAAAACCCAATTTAATTTTCCGTCATTGGAAGTTCGCCATATGGGCTAGCATTCAGGCCATGCTAGTAGCCATAGGCCCTACCGTGTATCGTACACATGTTGCATGAGCAGCATATCTTCTGACTCCCTTAGGGCGCAAACGTATAACCTGTGTAATAAATATGCAGGTTTTCCCAAAAACATTGCTACTTATTTGATGTAGTTTTTGAGTTACATGGGAAAGTCTTTGTTTGTATTCTTGAGCTGATTGCAAATTGGCTCCGTTTCAAAGTCACTAAATTACACCAATCACCGAGTTGTTGGTGTTGTGGGGTCTCAATTGAGATCCGTTTTTAGTATATATTGATATCGGGGCCCCTAAATAGTGTACAATGTAAGTATTTAAAATAATTTAGTTTATGTTTCTAGCACGCACCTGCTTAAGGCACAAAGAACTGACATCTAACTTATGTGCTTTTACGTTGTGATTAGCCGTTTTAGTTGATCCTTTGGTATTGTAGACTTTGTCAGACACATTTTCTAGTAATGCATCTACCCCGAATTTCCCTTTTGGCTTGCCTATTCTGCGATCTGTTCTTAGCATCTGGCATGTTTTTTTCGCCCATTTCTTCATAGCCCAACCTGATGGGACCGAATTTGCACCTAAGGGAACCTAGATTCACTACCATTTCCGCATTACAACAGCGTCTTCAAACTCGTGCAATTTCTTTGTCTTTTTTAAAGGGAAGAGTCCAATCACCAGGCTGTGATTCAAGAGCGTATTCGCCATTATTTTAACCAACTGACTGTCGGTTGTGGGGATGCTGCATGCACGAATCAGAATTGTGCTTCTTCCTCCAACTTCGCTCACCGTGGGCTTGATAATAACCATGCTGCTGCCTTAGCACTCAGACTTCTCAGAGATTCTGAACCAATGTGTTTTGCTCATTCTCCCGCTTCAATGGATTCCACAGAGCACCGAAAGAACTCCACCCCAAAATCCAACCACATTGATTCTTGTGTACGTTTTCATTATTCTCTTTATACCAGGATTTTCGAGCCATCCAAGGCATATTGTTTGCTGCTTTCATCTAGCCTTAATGGCGTAATTTTGCCTTTTGTAATAATGAAAAGTGGTCTCGTGAATTATTTGAATGTTCCTCATTAAACTGTTCTCAATAATTGACGTCAATTTTTACTTTTTCGACCCCGCTGTTAGGTCATTTTTCGACTCCTTTCCACCACATCAATACAATGCTTAAGTAAACACCAATCGGCCACCTTAATTTTGCTTTTACTTCCGGTATGCAAACCTTCATCTTTTGTGAATCTTTTAAGTTCTTGGGCTCATTTCATCCTTTCATGCTTAGCATCAACCGGACCAACGTAGGGATTTAGCGATAAATCCCGAGAGCACTCAGGTGTCGGAGCATTTGTCTCTAGCATCTGATTCCCCTCTCCGCCAGGGTCAGGAAAAGATGGAAGGTGAGGAATCAGACGAAGGAAGGGAAGGAGATGGGGAGATACAGGATGCATTGGAAGGTTCTACACCTACCTCCTCAATTAGTGAAATTTCTCCTGGTCTGAGTCGTTTTCTTCTTCATATTTCCGGTAGTTCGCCACCTACCTCCTCAGAAGTCCCATTTCTCGAGAGTGGTGCGTGGTTTTGGGCTTCTTTTTTTACTTTTACCTTTGCTTATCCGTGAATTACTATACCAAATCGGTACTACAGAATTTCTCGCGCTATTGGTAGTTGCATGGATTCAATTTATCCGCGTTTCTCCCTAAAGTATAGTTTATGGGTATCAAATTTCACCTAATCGACCATCTTGAGTAAATAGATCGTGGGTTCTGAGCAGTGGTTATTGCTTTCACTAGTTTCATCCTTGCTATTGAACTTCAAGGTACAACGAGGAATCCGCGTTCTTACAGACTTTTCGATTCCACCAAAGTTGTTTCGCTTACTGGGAGAAAACAAACGACGTCCAAGCATATTTTTGGGATTTAAATTGGCCTGATTATTGCATACACCTCCGTAAATTTATTAAATTAGTCTGGTGGTCAGCTATTATGTGTTTACCTAGCGGTGGTTAATCTGTGCAGCTTATTGTTCACGATTTGTTGATCTAGAATATTTTCCCGTGCTACTTTAAATCTCTACCTAGGCATTTCCAGATAGTCAGTTGTAAACTCATCTGGTTTTGTGCTTGAGTCTCTGCCATCTTTCAGTGCCTCTTAAAGATATTTTTCGAATCACAGCTAAAGTCATTCGGTATTCACTATTTGTCCCTTTTAATTCAGTGACGTCTACGGCGACAGAAAGCGGTGACAACGCGGATTCCTCTCAGCACAGCTATTTTCTGGGGTTGCTGGACAGCATTATGAAGAAGTCCAATCACAAACCTGACGATGGCGGGGAAGACATTGACTTACCTTCAGCAGCGAGCATCATAGGAAAGCGTGTGAAGGGCCTCAGACTGTCTGAGGTACGGGAATGCGTAGAAAACTGCGAGTCGGAGGGCAACTGGACCCCCATCAGACTGCTTCTTGAGGAAGTCTTCACATCCCTCACCGCTCTCGCCAATTCCTTCCCTCTGGAGAGCGAATCTACCGATGTCGAGATGCTGTCGTTGCCTGCAACGAGCTCTTTTTTGTCGCATTACAAATCAGGTACGCGCCTAGATTATTCCCTCGCTTATCCATTTCTTCATCAGTTGCTGAGTTCGTGGTAGCATCTGACCTGCCACTACAAAAGGATCGTTTAGGGTTTCGCATTCGTTCCAATTGTTTTTATATCTTAATTGCCTAATTATATCATAGGACTTTATTATGTTTGAATCGTGGTGCATTTTTGGAAAAAATAAAACTCGTCAAACAAATGATTTTACTAATGAATAACAGCTGTTGCTGAAACCTGACTTATTCGCATCAGTTTCAGCCACAGAATCAGCTCGTACTCACAAGCGCAAGTCTGGGTCTGATTCAAATGCGTTTCCACCCTTCCTCAACACTGAATCCGATCCTGCAGTCCCAGTAGACATAGACGAGGCTCGTGAGGCATACAACCTCCTTCTTGAACGACCTCCAAAGACCGTGAACATCGAGGACACGCTTGCTCACCTCATCCGACGACAATTGATTGTTACACTGCGCAGATGCTTTCGCATCTACCCCTTCCCATCTTCCTCTGGTGCTAGCACAGACCCCTATCTCGCCCTGCTAGAGGAATTGAATCCTTCTCCTGATGGGGAGGCGGACAAATTGCAGCAGCGCATGGTGAATCTCTTCGCCACCATCTATGCCTGCCCACTTGTCACTGACCCCCTCCACTTCGAGGTTTGTATCTCCTCCATACTATATTACTTCTTCTGTAACTCCGTTCAAATTTTGTTTGCATCATCGTAAGGTTCATTTTTTGATGACTTATTTAATAGAAATTTAGGGTGCAGTAGACTTTTGTAACACGGATATAATGATCTCAGTGTGCATTCATTTCGCAAAGCTGAATTCATTTACATTGATTGCACGCATTACAATAAAATGGGGTTTGCATTTATAGGTCTGAAATTAACATCAGCATAAAGCCTTTTTATCGTTTGATCTAGCTGGTCTCGAACCAATAATTCAGTTTGTTCGTGTTTGGGGTGCCCTCGCAAAATAAACTGCCCAGCACTTGACTTGTAAACAGTTCTGGGTTTCTTAAACATTTTATGGTAGGTAATGTCAGTTGCCACTGCATTAGCTTATACTTTTGCACAGTTAGGCCTGATGGATTTGGATGTTCGTGTTTTAGCCCATTCTGCCTCATCTGTGTCACCTGACGGTATCTCTCCCAATGGCAACACAAGCACGTCTCTGTCGCACCTGGGCGGAGTATGCGATGTCTCAGCGATCCACGGCTCCAATTGAGGTTAGATCCGAGGCAGCAACGGTCACTTACTGGCTGCTCGACTTGCATCGCATCCTCATGCAGCAGATCACTCTGCGCTGCCTCGCCCTTGAGCCACCCCCCACCCTTACTGCTAGCGATCTCGAGGACGCACCTGCACCCAACGACGATCGGGTCATCTGTGACGCTGCTCGTGTCATTCGTATTGTCTTCTACGCTTCCCTGTTGGCAGGGGGCTGTGACCCTCCCGAACAACTCGCTCGGGAGGCCTCGGATTCCGAAGATATCCAGGGAGAGTCTTCTGTATCCCCTCCCTCCTCTTCTTTCCGTGTCAGTTGGCCCTCGCTTTGCCTGCTGACTTATATTCTTATGCTTTTTTTAAACTTATGCAATTTACTGCTCGGCCGTTTTTGCCATTTCTTCTATCGTTTAATCGGATTTATTCTTGACCGGTTCTTTAGAAGACAGCGTGACTGATTGGATTAATAGTAAGATTTCAAAGCTAGTCAAATTTTTCACAAACAGCTTACCGACTAGCTGGAAAGCCCGGATTTTTAAAAGTATGTTTGTTTATTTCAATTTACTATTTTAGACAGAAAGAGCGATTTTGCGTAAAGATCCGCTGGGCACCATTTTGGGCATTTCTCCAAACGATTGTCGCCACCCTCTTATTCCTCCAAAAGAATTTATCAACGAAACGCTAAATGAGTTTATTGTGGTACGTTTCCATCCTTGTTAGATTCTCTAAATGTGATAGGCAAAGTTTTAGTTATTCGGTGGATTTATGACTTGGTGGTAGTTGTGAGCCCCTCCATTTGCCCACCATTGATATGTCTGCTCGATGTCACCCTTTTAACCTAAAGTCAATTATCCTGAATCTTTCCTCAGCATGCATGTCTGCAATGATCCATGAACCAAGCAAACCAAATAATTAATGCTTATCCCATGTATATTTTGATTATAAAGCGGAATGTATCACTGTAAAAAGGACAGCATATGCCAGGTTATTCTGTTTAATTCAATTAGACGACTTTTGGGATGCGTGAGTTAAGTTTATTTTCAGGAACAGGGCTTCTGGTGACACGCATTGTAAATTGGTATTTTAGTTATTAGCGAACACTATGTGCCTCTTTGCTGTCACCTAGAACCCATGCAAAGAATGCCTAGAACTCTTAACCAATTGCTGCTTTTAAGCTCCACTTTTTACCAATTGGTGTTAGGAATAAAATCTAGCTAGTTGCTTTCGAGATCACGAAACTTGCTAATCAAACCCTTCTGAACTCTACTGTTTTCCTATAGGTGGAGAAGGATTTTGCCAACTTCCGTTCGCAGAGGTCGGGATGGCCGGAGAAACTCTCCTTTATGGAGTTGCCCTTCATGCTGCAGACCACGACGAAGAGCACCCAACTCTATTACGACAATCGGCTGAACATGCTACAGGAACGTCGCGGTGCTATCCTTCACGCTCTCTTTGCCACCTCAACCCCTGACGCCGCCCTCGAGATGCCCTACTTCAAAATTTGTGTCAACCGAGAACGTGTTGTAGAGGACGCTCTGATTGCGGTAGGCTCACTTCCTTCTTTTGGTTCTCTTTGGGTTATTATTGCCCCCTCCCCCATCCAATTCGATGGTTGGCTTCAACGGTACCCTTCTAAGTCAACAAACCAGGGAGTTGTCTCAAGACCTATTTTTATTCAATGTTTCTTGATTAAATAGTCTGAAAAGTTCTAGTTTTAATGGGTCACAATACGGATTATTTATTTGCCATTTTTCGTTTTTCCACAGGAAATTCCAGGCAATTTCACTCGCTTTAAAAGTAATACCTAGAAAACGAAAGATATTACTAAAGATAACATTACAATGCCAGCGACAATTATAGTGAAATTTAATTTGTATTTTGGTTTTTCGCTGTGCATTTATAGAATCGTTTTTAACTTTTAATTGTTTAGTTAGAACTAACTCGAATGGAAGCCGTGGGGGATTTGAAAAAACAACTCTACGTTGAATTTGATGGCGAACAGGGAATTGATGAGGGTGGTCTCAGTAAGGAGTTTTTCCAACTCATCGTGGAACGCATTTTCAATCCGGACTACGGTCTGTTCTCGGCTCTTTCCATCTTTCCTGAAACTATGCTTTATTATTCAGAAGGATATGCAATTTAAATAAGTACCATAAAATGTACTCGGAGAAAAAACCAGATAGCATCTAGTTTTCCAAAGTCCCATCATTCACTCCCTCGGTAATTTTCACTTAGGATCAAATTAAATCAGGTGCGAATTTTGGGGCAAATTTATTCCTTGTGAGAGGTGCTGTGTCGGCTATAGGTGGGCAAATTCTTGTACACAGGAAAATTTCATAAATTCACATTGCCATGCTGAACAAACACAACACCTACATTTCTCTTAGGAGTGCATTTTCGTGATGCTGACAGTTTTTAAAGTTTAATAAACCTGGTTTTCTTCCCAGATCCCCTCTATCAAGTCTTGCTCCCATGTGAATCATAATTACAACACTGATGACTGTTTTTGTCTATTTTGTGAAGGAAGCCAGATTTACCGTGTTTCTTCTTGTAGGCATGTTTGTTTACGAGAATGAGTCGGAGTGCTTTTGGTTTAATCGTAGTCCTCTGGCAGAGGAATTGGAGCGGGAGTACTGCTTGATTGGGACCATTTTGGGTCTAGCCATCTACAACAATGTCATCCTTGATGTACACTTCCCTGCGGTGCTCTTCCGCAAGCTCTGTGGAAAGCTTGCCTCTGGATTGGAGGACCTTGAGGACGGATGGCCCGCTCTGGCACACGGTCTACAGGTAATACTCACTGCCATCCTCTCTCATGGCCTTTTTTCCATCGTTGTAATCGATCGTGGTTAAATGGCTTGTCACTTTTGGGGTCATGCATATTCGTAACCTCGTGCCTTTTGAGTACTAGTACCGTTTAATTCCGATTCAGTTAACGCTGCTAATGCTTCCGATATCTACGTATCCTTGTAGTTTTCTTTTGCTTTTAATTTTTGCTATGTAATAGTACACAGAATTTTATTCTGTTGAAATGAGTTTTAATGTCATGCTTGAATTCCAAAAGCACATAAAACTTTGGATTTATTTGGTGAAATAAGTAAGTTCAATTAAATACAAATGAATGTATTTAGGTTTTCTACTTTCTCAAGATTGCTACTTCCCATTTGCTTAAGGATTTGAATAGCTTAATTTATTTGGCTATTTGTCTTTCATGTGTTCAGTGTCTGTTTGATCTATGCAAACTGATCCCACGCGTCTTACTAGCATCATGCTGATTGGTCGCTTTACCAATACCATACCACTATCAGGATAAGACCGAAATCTACCAGTGATTTGGACGCCTTTACACTTGATAACTTTTAATTTTATTTCCAAGCTATATTCTGTTGAATCAGCCAAAGTTTAAGCTTGTGCTAATTTCTCGCGAACTTCTGTCTTCTACATCGTAATGCTTTTATCCTCCATACTGCGCTGTAACATCCACTGAAGGGAAGTCGAAAAACTTTTTTGCCTTCATATTGATTGATTAATTAATTAAACTGTACTGAGTGCTTTAGGGAGTACTGTCTTCGAGTTTCGCTTGTAAGGTATATTTTTTGTCGTTTGATGCTGCTCTTGCTTCACCTATGGTGTGTAACTGAGATACACTTTTTGTCAATAGAGACCAATAAAAGACTCTAATTTCACCCCAATCAACTTAATTAGCTCTTAGTTTTTATTATAATTTACTTTAGTCGTAATATTCTTCTGTAGCCTTTACTACTATGTGTTACCTCCTACTTCCTATACGCAATTTGCGGTCGAGGTGAAAATTCTATATTTGGCCGATAGGGACTATCACTCTTTAAAGGCGTTTTTAAGGGCTAAGCGAAATAGCGAAGGAATAGTAGAGTTAAATATCTGGCCTGATACTCCTGTGTTTGTAACTCCGTATGTTATGTTAACATACTGAAATTAGGCGTCTCGTTAAATGGCTAGTTTGTTTCATCTGATTAAGGCGCTGCTGAAATATGATGGAGATAACTTTGAGGATGATCACTGCCTCAACTTTGTGGTCACCTACTCAGATATGTTCGGTCAGGTGGTGACCCACGAGTTGGTTCCCGACGGCACATCCAAACCCGTCACTATCGACAATCGCCAGGTACGTGGCTCCCCTTTTCTCTGTCTGCGTTCCCAATTTTTAAACCTCGCTCACCATAAATTATCTTCCTTGTTCGCTGTTTACAATCCGTAACTTTTTACAATGCCTGTTGTCCCTTCCGTTTCTCAGTGGACCTGCTGGTCGGCGTAAAGCCTCGAATTTTTTTTTATATATCAGCAGAAAGTTGCATTTAGACCGACATGTTTCATAACGTAGCTTTCCTAAAGAATCCAATCCTTGCTGTGCTCTTGTTATAGCACTTAATATTTTCAAAGTGTAATTGTCATATGGTTCTTGGGTTTCTGCTATCAAATATTATTTCCATGTTTCCTGGTGTTCTGGTCCAGCTCAGGCTCCTTTTCTTACCAAGTTTCCTTTTTTGCATTGATTTCAACATTAGTTTGAAAACTCGGCAATAGCTAAGTAACATGTTTTAACTAACAGTGATGGTGCTCGTGATGGTCATGTGATCACGAAGACTTATGTGATTTTCACCTTGGCATCTTACTTAAAAATGGCCTTAAATTTTTGCATTTTTTGTCGCAGGAATTCATTGACCGAACAATTGATTTTCTACTCAACACCTCAGTAAAGAAACAGTTCACTGCCTTCCGGAGGGGCTTCCTGTCCGTTGTAGGAGACACGCCACTGTTCCATCTTTTTTCGCCCTTTGAGATTGAGCTCCTCTTGCTCGGAAGTCAAGTACGTACCGTATTTTTAAGAAAAGGCACTCTTTCTTTACAATCTTAGACCCGATTTATGGTTTTTAGGTTTCAAAAGATCTAGTTGCCTTACTTTTCGCTAGTTATGATAGTAACCATGGTGGCACAGCATAAAAGCAACTTAACGGTACTTGATTTAGCTCCGTTTCTCTCCATACATTGAGGAACTTCTTTGTTTGTGGAATGCCAGATGGGACAGTGAATTATGCCTATAGAGATCTCTCGGTAGAGCGAATTAAAATTATCTTATTGAAACTTTTAGTAGTCCATATTCAACAAGGCAATATGTGTAATCATCCTAATTGCGCAATCTCGGTGTTCAGTTCTTTAGTAGTCCTTACGGAGTCGATTAAATGAGCTCGCTCTCCGAAATGCACGCCTGGTGGTTTGTGTAGACAAGAGCTAATACGGAAAATTTTAATGCCACGCCAGTGCTGTACAAATAAGCAAAAATTGCATTTCTGATGTGTGTTAGCACTACGACTTTGGTGAGTTGGAACGCGTGACAGAGTACGAGGGCGACTACAGCGCGGAGACGATTGTGATCCGCCAGTTCTGGTCGGTGGTGCACGCCATGACGGAGGAGGAGCAGCGTAAGCTCCTTCAGTTTACCACCGGCACCGACCGCATCCCCGTCGGCGGCATGTCGCGCATGAAATTCGTCATCGCCAGGCAAGGTCCCGATTCGGACAGGTAAGTCGTTGGTCATGAAACTCGCTTGTGTACACATCTTACATGCATTGACATTCTTGTTAGCATGTAAAGTGACCTTCCATTCCACTTTCATTGTGAGTTATATCGAAACTTCTAATAACTCTTTATGCGGAACCTTTAGCCATTTGGACGCTGGCGCTTTAGCACGGGCGATGTCACATGGTTGTTTTATGTATACCAGTTGCATAATTTTTTTGTATTTACTCACTTCATCTCTCTTCGAATGTACTTCAAGAAAATCGGTAAAATACGAATTTGTGAATTTGATTCACCTCATTTCTGTGCCCAGACTACCGACAGCTCACACTTGTTTCAACGTTCTTTTGTTGCCGGAGTACTCGAGTAAGGAGAAACTAGAGCGCTGTCTACGAGTGGCAATCACCTACTCAAAGGGCTTCGGCATGTTTTGAGGGGCGACAAGGGCATCGCGTACTGTCTTTCCTGGATTAATTAACGTTTATCCCCCTTTCCCTTTACTCTTTGTGCCCCCGGTTCATCACCGACGTTCTTTTTATGATCAATCCTGTTTGTCCCCAAGGATGGAGTCCTCTTGCTTACCTACCTCCCTCCCTCCCTTTGCCTCCAAAAGAACTGTACTTGATAATGTATGCTCCACGCACACGTGAAGTAGGCGTTGCCTTGTCTAAACTCTTCTCTTTCCATGCATGCGTGTTTCGCACTTACCGAGTGGGTGCTCGCGTTTGCGTATGTGTGCGCAAAATTTACGACGGTTTTCAAAGTGCTTGCTCTAGTAAAGACTGTCGTTAGGGCATTTTAATGGCGTTATAGAGATTTGGAGTGCCTGTGGATATCAGGAGGGTGTGAAGTCCAATAAGTTTAGCAAGCATTATTAGCTCTGATAGAGGAACTGAATCTACATTTTGCACCAGATTTAAGGTTATTAATGTCTAGTGATTACTTATGTCTTGATTTTCGTGTGCGTATACTTGAGGCAGTTCTGACGAAAATTGAACAGTCTTTTTTTATGCGCAAATGATGCATTCGCTTGATTGAAAACTTGTCGAAGATTTCTAATTACAATTTTAGCGTCTTTATGTTCAATGTTTTCCTAGTTTATTCTTACTAAACGTCCCACAATAAAGTTTGATGACTTGTAAAGGACTCATGGTACTTATTCTTTTTCTCAGGAACTACCCAAAAGGTTGACTCTAATGGGACTGTATTTGACTTGCATGTGGCCGGTGCTGAAATTAGCATATTAAGCTAGTAGCGAACCCAAGTTTATTTCCTCACTCCATTTAGGTCGCTTGATCTCCGAACCAGATGAGTTCCGGCAGCACTGTCGATTGCAACTTAGACCCTAACAATGGTGACAGTGAGGCAGTCGCCCTCAACGTGGATGTGCTTCGTCTATTGGCGGCGCGCTCTGCAGAAATGATGGCCTGCGAAGCTTCCGTGCACCTCGCCACTGCGCGTGCCATCGCCCCTCTCCAGCGCTTGCCTGTCCGCCTCCGCAGACGCGCCGCCAGCCATCAGATCCACCGCCTTCCCCGACGTCTTCATCATGGATTAGCTCAGGCTGTCAGTTTTTCTCTCATGTATAGTTATGTACTATACACGCTAATCTATGGCTTTACATTCTTATACCTGGAGCAACTGACGTTCAGATATAGCGCTTCTATTATCTATGGACCCCACCTTGATTTCAATTCTTTGAATGGTGGAAGGGGAATATAGGTACGACAACGCCGCCAATGACGTGGAATTTTTGTGTATTCACATTAGTGGCTGAATTTTCGCGCAGAAGTTGCCATTTTGTAATACCATAGTCAAATTCGATTAATTTAATCGTTTTACGTATTACAATTATTTCAGGTGCCATCCAGATCCCAATTTGGTTCGAGCTTGAAGGACCATCATTTACACGACATCGTCATCATGTCCATCGAAAACTGACATAAAAGTGTTGCGTAATTGCAGATGAGCCAGAAACTGGTGAAGCAGGCGAAGCGGTGTAGGCGCTACCGGCGGCGGTCGCAGCGACTGATGGCATTGGCAACGCGGTGCGTCCTTCCACCCACGGGTGAAGGAGCGGGCGAGGGTCGAACGCGCTGGATCCCTACTGCCCTCTGGCACGCCAAGCGATTCCACGTGGTGCAGAACTGGGGCTGGCGTCTGCCTTTTGCCCCAACAGACAAGATGTTCAAAGCCCTCCAACGAGCCACCACCGAGTGCGTCTCCACTCTTGTCTCTATTTACCTCTACCCATTTTTCTGAATTTGAATAGACAAATGCTTTTAATGGGGTTATTTTTTAGGTCTAATTGCTGGCACACGACGGGTAGTGTTCTCCACCACATAACTATTTGATGTTTTACTCCAATGTTTTTATGTGTTTCTTTGAGGCACGTAATTTAAATCAAAAAATGACAGACCCTATTCTTATATATTGAAGGCAGGCTTCATCATCGTGCGATTAATTCAAACCATTTCCCTTTGGGTTTGTTACCTCACATCATCAGAAATAATGCCACCAAGTAAGCAAACAAAGTCATCAGCTACCCCTGTTTGAGACAGCGGTACAGACGACACTAGTGATGTCAACATTCTTTCCTTTCAGTCGATGCATGCTGCTGGACCACGGCTACTTGAGCTGCTTCTCTGTGTCTGGACCCTTTAACCTCCTAAGACTGTGTGTCGCAGAGACGACGCTCCCCTTCTTTGTGTCCAGCATTGGCATCGATCTTCCATCGGATGCCTCCCCTTCGACTGGCTTCCATGAATCGGTTGGTCTTTTGTGTTCCGAAGCAATGCCAACTCAACAACCGATGGGTGTTGCGAGCCTTCCGAATATCTCTCGATCCATTCTTGGCCCCGTTCGAATATTATGGAGTGCAACTATTCAGGAGGTTAGTGTTGTGCACACACCGAAGTAACCTAGTTATTTGTTGACTCCAGTTTGTAAAACATTTGCGGATGATACCTGTAACACTAGACATAAAAAACGGATGACGACTTCACTTGGTGCATAGCCTAAGCTAACATCTACTTTGGCACCGACTTTTAAACAACGCTCCGTTGGATAACTTTTATCCATAGGGACATGGCCAGCGACGTTCCACTCTATGGTTCTGGCTGCACCCTAGTATGTCTTCAGATGCTTGGAAGCTGTTCACTTCGCTCGACTATGTCTCCACCGATTTGGAGGCGTCGATAGCATCCCTTAAGTTGGTCGACTGCACTGGGCATCTGTGCCGCATGAAACTCATTGGTCCTTTTGCGCATCAAGTTCTTGCAGATATCATCAAGCCGCCATCTTCGTCGACCCATTCAACCTCTACGACTGGCGAGTGGGCCTTATGGAGAGCTCTATGTGCCTACCAAAAGGCTGGTCTCCTTCCCACTGGCTGCGCCGTAGCACTGCTTTGCGCACCCTTTCTGCATAACAGGCGAGCCACTTACTCAAGTTGATTGCAATCGTCGCTGATCGCCTCTACAGTGGAGACCACTTCATGACAATGCTTTCTTGTCCACATTTAGGCCGCTTTTGAAGCTGTACAACCGGAATTGGCTGATTCAAGTACCAAAAGAGGGCGAAGTGACGACTCAGCTGGCCCCTGGTTTCGTCTCCAAATCCTTGACCTCGAGTGAACTAACCAAACTTCTCCTCGATCACTGTGACGTCGAATTCGACGCTCTTCTTACTCGATGGTTTTCCTCGCCAGAACCTTGCTGTTTTTCTGATGTAAGGCCCTCTTCTCTTCATGATGAAGTCGAATTACATTCTGTCGTTTAGTAACACTATGAATTTTTCAAATTTTATGTCAGCATTTAGTTGCGTCCCATTCATTTTCTTTTGTTTTCTTCCTTATGTTTTATGGTCTTTTTCTCCCGCCCCTAGGGATGGGAGCACACATATTCCAGCCTTATTTTCCGTTTCTTTTGCGTTCTCGGTGAGGTCCAGTTGTGACAGAGGGAAGCCAAGTTGTGGATGAAAACGGTACACCGCTCGCTAAACAACGGGCTTGAATAGGGGCGGGCATGGCTAAATATAGCTAGCTGTGTATAGGTAATCCGTAAGTGAAGTACCTAATATGGTTTGTCAGTGGCCAAGACTCAATCAGATCCTGCCTGCTCACGCAGGGAGTAGGGTCATTCACTGGTCTTGGGTGCTCCAATTAACTATCTTGTGCAAGGCAAAGCCGGCACGTATGGGTACTCTTGCCGGAGCTTTCTGCAAGATTGGTCCGCGTGAGTGTCCTAACTGTTTCTGTCACAACTATTTCAGTTTACAGTAAATCCCATCAGTGACTCATGTTTGTTAAATCCAAAGGAGCTTGCTGGAAAGGCGAGCGTTCTTGCTGTCGCTGTTACTTACACAAACAATGGAAATACATTATAGCGAATGCCTACTTGTGTGCAACTAATTCTACACGATCGATGCATGCTAGTACCTCTAAGGCTAAATCATTCATTAGTTGTAAACCGCTGTCCTCAGGCGTCATTACCGATTCTTATCCGTTGTTAGTGAAGTCGTTCTAGGTGTAGAAGCTAGAATAAAGTACCACTTTGGGATATCACTTAACCCTAATAAGGGATAGGTACCCCAGGTTTAAAAACAAATGATCACTTATTAAACTCTAGCTAGGTATGAAAGGATATATTTCTACTGGTTTTTCCCACTTTTAAGATGGGGATCCCCATCCTCTTGATCCAGAATGGGACGCCCAGCCTTGTGAGTCAGAAGTCTCAGTGTATTGGCTGGGACGTGGTGCTGCCCAGGCAACTGCTGAAGCCGTCTACCAGGATGGCACCACCTCAAGAAGCAATGACAGAACCACCTGTGGAAACCTCAGCACCGCGAGACTTCGTGGTGGCTTGTACTTACCGCGGCGTACGCGTGGGAGGCTTGCGGGACCAACTACGGTGGGCGAGCCTTACAACCGAGGCCGCAGGTCGCGTCGACGCCTTCCCCTACGTCCTCTGGCCCGACACTCCCGCCGCATGTTGCGTCACTGATGAAAAGGTCCACCTAAAAGTCGAACGGGACCCCAAGGGGTACGGTGACGTTAGTGGGTTGTCAACAGCGGGTGAACTACGGTTATTGTTCCTAACTTATTCGTGTGATGACCTTGTCGAAGTATTTCTATTACTAATCGGCGTCATTTTCATTTCTAATGCATATTATAATTAGAGGCTTTTTTAAAACGCAGTTTGTGTGGGTATATCTGAGTGTTGAATCCGTTCCAAAGGCTTTACTATAGACGGATGTTGGACGTAACACACTTTGGTAGACACAATTGTGATTATTATCAGGAGGGGTTCAAATTAGCTACATATGTTTATTCGAAACGTGAAAACGTGTTTTGGATATAAAGTCAATAGTGGATTAATTTAACCGTTCCATAGTTGACGTTTTATTTGTGATCGAAATCGAATTCTCAACCGTGTGCTAGACTTTGCACTTATCTCAATCCACAGTGATTTATTTCGTCTGTTATTTTTAAATAGTAGATCGCTGACATTTACGTTCATTGCCTCAGTGACTTTCAATCCACTAGCAAACCTGAAATTACACCGTTATATAAAATCATTTTTTCTCTTAGTAGACCGCTCGTCAATTATGAAATGACTGACTTCAGAGGTATTGCAGCTCGCTTAAGTTGATCCCCACTTCTTCATGCTATTGTGGGTAATTTCTGGTGTTCCGAACTTTTTTTACATTAGTCCGTCTAGTTTCGTTCATGGCGTATCCACCTATGGAGTAACAATCAAACGAGTTTTCACCTATTTTTCGACAAGAGTGATTTTTTTGTTAGTGATGGGTTTTCGAACCAAAAAGGAAAAAGTGGTACCAAAGAATGCTAAGAATCCATAAGCAATTTTGGCTATATTAAAATCACTTACAAAAAGTGATTATTGGCAACACAATCGGCTACATAGAGGGCTTCTCCAATCAGCCTGAAACTATTAAACGTCCCCATCTCATTGCGCATGGTATCAGTCTCGAGATTTGTACGTGGTGTGTTCTTATGCGGCGGTGACGTTGATCCCTATATTATAATTTGCGGAGCAGTCGGCTAACGGGTGATGCCAAACGAAGGGCACGGATCAAGTTTCGTTGCTTCGCGCCCATGACTAAAGACTGGCTCCAGCTACTCAAACCAGTCTTACTTCCGACCGCAGGAGACGGCTTTTTCGTGTTGCGCGACAAGGCCATGCTAGTCTTGGTGGTGCGTCGTCTTCTGACTGGCGATCCACGAGCCAGACACCTCACCGTAGAGCATCTCTCGCGATACGACCCTCGTCTGCCCAGAGCCCTTGTTATGGTGCGTCTTCACAAGCATTGCTCCATTGTAAAAGGTCCCATTCATCGTCCTAGACTGAAAACTTAGCTCTGCGGCAAGTAGCACTTGCAAATAGTGTTGATGCATTGCGCTCATTTAACAATAGCAATCGCACATACTCTTTCTATCAATAGATAATGTTATGCAAATGCAGCAATGGAGGATTAGACGGCATTCTGCATTTATGCGCCACTACTTTGCTACTGTTAACAGTTCTGGATGCATTCGCTTCGGTTTGCATTCAGCACTCTTCCATGTCTTTCAGGTGAAGCTTGAGGTTACGTCACGTGGCGTACCCGAGGCGAGGGCAGAGATCTTCGCCCTCCTGGCCACAGACGACCCCTCTCTGGGTCCTATTTCGGACAAGGCCCCGCGAACATTGCTAGGCTATGTTGATGAAGGCGCCTATGCTTTTTCTCACGGTTTCTGTATTGCCATAGGCTTTATCAGTTTGGCCGCTGTCTGTTCTCTGTCTCCCACCGAACGGCCTTCCAAAGGATTCCAAACGGTCCTCTTCAGGAGTCTTAAATCAAGTAATCTGTATGGAGCGAAGATGACTGTTATCATATAAAGATGTCGCAATATGTTTAAGTGATGTTTGCCTGTTTGTGCGAACTTTTGACCTACATTTGGATACCTAACTCTTGTGAAATCAACCTAGTCACTATCTCCATTCAAGGCATTGCCTTAAACCCGATGAGAACAGTCCCGACCATTGTTCACTACGGTGTGCCTAGGGCTGCTCAACCTCGGCCATCGTTTGCATAACTTCTTGTGACTAAAGCAATTTCATATCGACTCCAACAAATCGGTGCTTTCTTTGAGTAGGCAGTGGCGATGGCGGGGAATAACCTATGGCAGAGCTGCATTTGTTCGTATTGGGGATGTGATCAAACAAGGGACGGAGAATAAGTGAAGAGCGATTAAACAGAGGGGAGGGGAGGAGCGGGGTGGTTGTTTGGGGGGATTCGGTATTTCCGGAGAATTTTCAGGCAGGAACTATCGGAGGACTCAATAACTGCACAATACGAGCCTCCTAACATCGGGAATTTTTCCATTGCCAGTAAAGTAGGGCACCTAAAGGATATCTGCTGAAAATCGTTCCGAATGCTTTATAAAAGAATTGGCTAGGAAAAAGTATACCTTAAGGACTCTAAAACAGGGCCGTACACATTAATAACCCGAAATGGGTGGGCTATTTCAACGCATATCAGTAACTGGAAATTTACAAATAACCAAGCAGAATATACTCTTCGTAAGGCCTCTTCTGAAGAATGACTTGGGTGCCACAGGGTATTGGTTTTGTGTTCATCAGGGATGGGTAAAGTAAGCTGAAAAGGCATATGAAGCTGCAAAAATAATGAACATATGAGACTGAGCACTACTAGCCACACTGCATAAAATTAGCTGAATACTAGGAATGATTAGGCTGGGAAATATATGCAGCTCATACATGAGATTCTGAAAATCATGCCAACAAGGCGTCTTGTTTTAGTGAGCTCTCGGTGCCAGTTGTCGAGTTTGCTGGTAAGTGGTGCGTGATGAGGCGATGTTCCTCTCTCTTAGTTCTAATGCTGAACTGAACGCCTGATCCTACTAGCATGGACAGTAACCGACCACTATCTTGTTCAGAACCCCGAGGGATTCTGTTGGTATGTGAGTTCTACCACCGACCTCGCAAATCTACCTGAGTGATCGCGCTGGCAGTCGCCTGCGGCCGGTGATGGATTCGGTGCTTGTTTGTATCAGCACTCTTCGCCATTTGGGTAAGTCGACAAGCGAGTGCTTGCATCCACAATATCAAATGCGCTTCGGGTATGAGGCGTATGCCGCATGTGTGGAAGATTGACTCCGCGACACGTCGGGCGGCTGGTTGCGGTACAAGCTCCGTCTGATGTAGTGATGACTTATTTTTCGTCTCTTACTTCAGTCGTGATGAAATTGTTGACTGAGTGGTGTTAGATCACAGTTCGCCGCTCATGTGGCGTTTGCGTTTAACAGTCTTACTCTGTCTTTTAGA